CGAACATTCTGAAACATACTATAGCTCTTCGTCTGAGACTTTAGAACGTCTGACATAGATCGAAAATTCTACGCCATGAAATAAATATACCCAGTTGTTGATCAAAATAGGCCATTCAGAAACTTTAGCACATGATTTTTAATTCTATTGGCCTATTTCGATCAGCAACTGGATATATATGAATATTTCCGTAAAGTTGTCGATCTATACTCTGAAGAGTAAAAATGCACATTAGGTTAAAGCTTTCTTCGTGTTTATTTGTGTATGTTGTGTTAATTTGTGATATATCATATCAAATACACATTTCATTTCGTGCAAAAAATTTCCCAAACTTTCGTTTATAGACAATGGGTCGTCAATCTATAGTGTCTTCTCTTCTAATTCTACTTATCCTAATATTTCATGTCCACAGAAAAAGAAAGATTGCCATAGACTAAACTTACTTTTTACAGTATTTCATGTCACATTAAAATCCTAATTGTGATTTTTCGTCGTAGGACTTGTTGTCCATTTGTTATTCAACTTTAGAACCCTTATCATCCATCTTTTTTGCTGGCACTTTCAATGCAAATCTATTCAGACGAAGTTTATTTGATTTATTCAAATTTTCAATAGAGACCAAATTGTTGTGAACAGTATTGGGAATATAAAATCCAATCAAATTTTACTTTCTCAACAGTTGAAAATCTTTCGCATATTACTAATAAATGCTGAAGGTATACGCGATGTGGGTTTTTTGCAATAAACTCATTTCGCTTGCCTTTTGCCAGGAAATCTTTAAACATGATTTGTGTACGTTGAAAAAGCTTTAATAAATAATTTCTGTTAGCATTTTTCTGGTATAAACACAGTTATAAGAGAGAAAACATTTTTTTTCAATGTCTTTAGCTGAGAAAAGAGGTTGTTCACAAAAGGAAAATTTGGTTCCAAATGACGTTACTTTTGATCCACACTTAAATATAAACTTCGGTTTATCTTGGGCATTATTCGACGTTTATTCTTTGAGAATATGTCAAACGAAAAGTATTTTAGCATGCCATAATTTCTCTTTTCTGTAATTTTATTTGATGTACCAGGTGCAAAGAATATTTTTCATGTTTAATCACGTTTTATAAAAGATTTCTCAATGAAATTCTAAAATCACATTGAAAAACTAATATTGTATAAACTAATATCCTCTTCTTTCTGACAATGTTATTTGACTCCATAAATAAAAAGAATGAATTGGGGATGAAAGATAGAGGGTCGTCCTCCAAGAATCAATTTCTTGGGGAATGCTCCTAAGGTAAAAATATGTCCATCCATACAAAAATAAAAAATGGTGACTTTCGCGAATCCAGATATGATAACCCATTATTTCAACGGCAGGGCGCACAAATTTATGAAAAATTCTGATGATAAAACCAATGTACCAAAAAATCATTTTTTAGCCCCTCCCCCCAAACATGCTACGCAAAACCAATGTACCAAAAATCATTTTTTTGCCCCCACTCCCACAACATCCCACACCCTGTTGCAACCTCAAAAGCAACACCAATCGTAAAACTCAAAAGTACCACCAATTCCCAAGAGAGCAAATGGCTGTTTTGTTGCTGCTAAAGGACGCTAAACGTTACCCTAGAGGATTACAAATTGAATTTTAGCAAGCATTGTAACTTACAAAGATAAAATGCCCCTACCTTCAAAATTATGCAGGTTTACTTTACTCAGAAAACTCAATGCATCAACCATCGTAATGGAGATGAGGAGACATGCAATAACCCTTGTAATCTTCGACATTGCTCTTCCTTGAAATAGCTCAAACTTTTGCGTGCTCAATCTGTGTTGGAGAGACATCGAATGAGCCTTATAGCTTGTTTTTGGGCTTTTCAACAAATTCCAGTCGTTTAATAGAGAGCAAACAGACAATTACCTCCTTGGCACTCTTCAAGTTCAAATATTAAACAGCATCTACCTGGGGCGAGGTCTAATGGTGTCGTGTGAAGCATTTTGTTGATGACGCAAGCGAACTAGGAAAATTCAACATTCAGCTTTTTTTTTAAATCAAGAACCCCAAGAGACAAAGAACAAAAGAACATATTCATTATCAAGTATAAAAGTATAAAGCTTTGCATTCTGCCTCTTCAGTGTAATCAGAATGAATTCTCCTAATTCCCAAGACATTGTTTGCTGTTTTCAGCTTACACCGTTCATTTTTTGTTTTGAATTCTCTCGAGAGAAGAGTATGCTGTTGTTATTGTCCGTGGTATTTGCATGTGGTATGTTGTTTACAGCCATCAGATTTCACTTCCACTGCAATTTAATTTTCTAACTCGTGAATAAAATACCAACAAAATGACGGGCAAAAAGCCCCCTCAGAAATCATGCCCTCGACATCAGAAAATCAGTCATGAGGCTACGTTCCCACATCGAAGAGAGTGAGTTGGGCCGTTGGTGCATCGGCGCAAATCGCTAAACCTACCACTGATTTAAACAGGAAGCGGTTACTTTGGAATTTTCCATAATAACCCCCAATTTAATTGATAAAGGGGAGGGAATGGACAAGAAAAGACTTTTTTCCCCACTAATAGCCAAAGCACCAGTCCTACCTAATAGCATCCAAATAAATGCTAACAGCATAAAGGAATGCCTAAAAGTACGAGAAATTTTATTGAAGGCATCAAGAGAAAAAAAAGAGGGAGGGAGGGCCGGAAAAATAAACAGCACACTCAATTTGCACCTTTCACCAAGCAAAGTGAAACCAACACTATGCCAAAAACCCCAAGAATACTTAAATACCCCAAAGAATAACCTAAGGAATATATGAGCCATAAATCTTACCCTAGCATTACTAAACGAATCCCCCGGACGCCAAGACTACTTCGCAGTACCAATAAACTAGTAAAGCAAATGCAAGAGAACCACGAGAAAGCGTGGCACATGAGACCAAAAATATGAATAACAGTCAATAATCAACTCAAGAGTAACAGCCAATGCAAAAGCCCCTCGTTAAATTAACTCTGATTAAATTTCATTAAATCATCATTTAATTTTGCAGCATAAAATTTAGAACTGCACCATTTCTCCTTTGACCTCATAACCCGACGAACGAAGGTTGCAAGCAAAAACATCGATTTTTTCTAAAGAATTATCCGGCTTTAAATTATCTAAATTCTTCAATGCCCCATTTTCATTGCAAGTATCAATTGTTTTAAATTGTAAATTTTTATAATGCAATGACCAATCATAATGCAAAAATGTTGATTGATATATTAAAAAATTTAAATATATAATCTGAGTGCAGGCCTAATGTAGCCTATGAAGGCGTATGGATATAGCAAGACACGTGCCGTTTTAGTACAGAAATCCTTATGGGTGAAATGTTTGGGGAAACGGTCAAGTTCTTAATTTTTTAACAATTTTGATATCCGTGTTCTTATAAAATTGTTCTTATAAAAAAGAATGAATTCAAAGAATTTCAACAATTTGAGGTGTGACACCCCCCCACCCCTGGTACTTACGTGCCCGATCCACACACGTCTAAATTCCCCTACCTTATCGACATTTTGGTGCAATTATCAGGGTGTAGGAAAAATCTTAAAATTTCCTAATCCTTCAACACAATAAAAATCTTGATAAAAAAGTGATACTTACGATTGAAAAATCTTAATATCTCCACTATGCGAGTAGAAGAGATTACTTTTGAACGACCGTTGATATTGTTGGAATAGTTTCGGCTGCAATTCGCATTCCATGACACATAATAAGGCGTGTTAGTTTGCTAAAAACCAGCCCAGCGATCTGTTTATTTGTTTTGAGATGGCCTATCTTGACCAGCCCTTTTCTGTCTATTGAGAACAGCGATTAGAGGCATTTAGCCTAGAACACACAACAGTACATTAATAGCCAGAAACAAATTCAATATTTTTTCGTTTGCTTCAATGTGGGTGGAGTCTTGCGTCCGCGAAAGCACTTTTAAAATCCCAAAAATAAACACACAACATCATCCCTAAATAAACTTTCAAATCCCAGAGACAAAATTGGAAGAATTGGTGGTACTTAAATCGATAAATATTGGCCTAACATCAGTAAGTTGGTTCCTTCTGTAAAAATTTTCACATGTGCATACAAATTTTGGTTAGTCTCATTTTAAATTGGCAAGTGACTCCAGAACAGATCTCTGTTTTGGAAAATAAAATATTCCCTTTATCGTTCCTTTGATATTCAAAAATTCCTTTCTCTTCCAAAAACAGTAATTCAGCTTTAACACTTAGAAACTGATCATATTATCTGACATGGCACCTCTATCATGATGACAAAAATAAATAAAATCTCTTATATTGTTATTCCTGCCACCCCTAAATTCAAGTAGCCACTTTAAAGTAGTTTTGAGCAATCAATTCATATAAAAATTCAAAATTACGGATAACTAAAAATTTGCGAAGTTTGTTATAAAAGGTTTATATTGGCTTGATAAAGTGACATATTTATTGAGACCTGATGCCATAAACGGCGTGCACTCATTTTTACCATAAGAAAATTTTGCCCAGCTTCGATATTCTTAAGAAATGTTTGAATGTGCCCGAATATATATTCAAAGTGTTCTGATTTTTAAAAACCTGATATGGTTCAAGGGGAACATCGCCCGCCCCTGCAAAGGAACAACGCTCTTTCAAAATCGAGTTAAATTCTGAAGATCGCGAAACTGTTGGAAAACAAGACCAAGCTGAGGCTGAGCTCGAATATTCTTCTAAACAATATTATTATGCGAAATGAGTATTTTGGGCATTAAAAACGAAAAATGAGACAAATTTTTTAACAGTGTGTTTGGAAATTGCCGTATAAAGGATTAAAAAAACTGCATTTTTAAATTAGCCAATGTCACTTCCATGCTATATTACACACTCTGTGAATTGATATCAATTCTTGCCCCTCCCCCCTTCCCCTATATAGATAGTGATGCTTTCATGCCACACAGAAAGTCTCACTAAAAGGACAGAAACTTTCCAGGAAATGAAGTATAGACTCAAGACAATGTAAGGACTAAACACGAAATTATCACACTATTCTAATCATTTCTTTTTAACGAAGAACCCAAGTGGAGAAAATGATACAAGATAAATTCAGAGCAATGTATCGTTTAGATTAAGCACCCCCGTCTCAGTCCTTGGAATCCAGGAGCCTGTTCAACTTATTAAGCACGCTCTTTCTTCGATGACGGGGGCTCACTCTATAGGTTTCGTTTATTCGTCTCCCCAAATTTTCCATTTGCTAAAATGTGCTTCCATCGACTGTGAATCACCTGTCCTGGTTTTCTTCTGGTGCTTGCTGAGCTGCTCCTCCCCAGTTAAAACCTCCAGGCCTCTCAGCTTCCGGTAGTGGTTCGTATGCAATGTCTTGATCTTGATCCAATATTGCTTTTCTAGGAAAAGAACACGGAATTACCTTTCTGGGAATTCGAAAATGCTTCAAAATTTCCATGAAACAATCATGGAAAGCAGTTTGAGGATAAATTTCAAAAAATAGAATAAAATTACATTATATTTTCACTAAATAATTTTTATGAGCAAGGCAATGGCGATTATCACAACAATTTCAGTATTTTCAAAAAGAACAAAAAACTGTTTTTCGTGTCTTTTCGAATCGCAAATTTTTCATCTTCTCAAAGATATACGAAGATAATATTTTTCTAAAAGGAAATATTTTTCTAACAGAAAAATCTTTTTATCACTTGAAAGGGTTCCTAAACTTGGGAAAAACAGGAAGTAATGTTAGATATACGAAGATAATATTTTTCTAAAAGAAAATATTTTTGTAACAGAAAATTATTTTTCTAACAGAAAAATCTGTTTATCATTTGAAAGGGTTCCCAAACTCCGGAAAAACTGGAAGTAATGTTGGCCGAGCGAGATCATAAATAAATATAAACTTACAGAAATCCTGGCGTTTGTAACAGTCGCTTTCCACCTGGCTTAGTTGGGAAAACATCTTCAAGAAAATAATAAATGTGTCCGACGCCAATACCTGCAAAAAAGATTTAGTTTTTAATATCAACTGTTACATATATGCCACTTGAACTTATTTGTTCATGATATCATAGTTATTTATTTAGAACAAGGTTATCATGTTTAGAATCAATTCATCGCCAATCAGCCTCCGTTAATAGCAATAGGCTGATTGAATTAACTTCTTGGTATGCAAGAACAAACAGAACATATAGTCTTGTTGAATAAAGATTGTAATAAATGATCTCTAATAAACTTTTGGCTGAAAGAATCGATTGATTTTGACAAGCCTGTTAGATTTTTAATCAAAAAGACAGAACTAGATCCAAGAGAAATAAACAATATTGCCAAAATTCTTGGTACACTAACGTCAGTTTACAAGGGCAAATCTAGCCATTCCCCTTCCCCCTTTGAACACTTTTGGTTTACTGCAAAACGACGTAGAGGATACGGAATCACATTTTTTAATGAACCTGTATGATATTTGACTATACTATCAAAATTGTTTCGAAGGGAAAGGGTGCGGAAATAGGGAAAAGAATTGAAAAACTCAAAACACAAGGCAAATTGCTTGGTGTTCCAAGTACTTTTGGCAATTATTGTAGTTCTGTGGTTGTCATCATATTTAAATCGAGAAAAAGAACTGAAATTGAGATCTATTATGACAAAAATAGTGTGTTATTTTCTAATTGCTTTTCTCGATGATGCAAAATAAGCATGCTAAACTATTTTCTAGATAAATGAAGTATCTTAAAAATGATACAATGAACAACATCACAAACATTCTAACTTCATTCTGATTGCCTCTTTGATCAATCAACTGAATTTTCAATTTTTGAAATAACATAGCTTTCACCTTCGCAGGTAGAGAAAAACTTGAGTGTAATAGCCCTCAAAAGCGAATTTAATCCCCCAAATTAAGAAAAAACATTAACTAAGACCAAAATTATATTTCGAGTTTCTGACAATCGTTAGATTCATACTAAAGTATTTTTTGTCTGATACTCGTTAGAGTACGAGCCGGATAATGTTCAAAGAAAAGCAGAAAATTATAACTAGATGTAGATCGAAAGTAACGTGACAGAAGGAATAGCGCGTTTGATTGATTCATTGTTTTTGACCAATCGCAGCCGCTAATCTCTCACCTAATAGAAGAGTTAGAGAACGGGATCCTTAGTTATGATGTAAACAGATTCAGATATGCCTCAATGAAAAGGCGATCTCTTGCTGCCCAATGATCTTAGAATTGTCGTCACTTTATGTTTAACATCATAATTCTAGGGAACGGGTGATGGAGTATAAGAAAACTTATAAAGATTTTCCAAAACACCTACCCATCAGGTCGACAATGATTGAATTTCCGAGCAGCAAAGAAAACCCAAGAAGCACCCAAGGAAGGTACGGCGCCTGGAAGTTCATTAGTCCGAAGAAGTTCATCCGCACATAGGTGTTTCGTCTGCTCCAGATATACACAAGCATTATAGTGAAAGCCTGGCCTAGAAATACTATGTTGACAAATAGCGCCATTATCTGCAGAAAAGTTAAGTGACCAACAATAACGTAAGAAGAACATGTATTTCGAAGGACTGGAAACTAAATTAGAACTTGTCTGCAAAACTTAACTTCACTCTCTCTGGTCTAGATGCAAAATTAGCTATTGGAAAAAGGTATACGGTCATTATTGGATAGGTTTTGCGATATGGTATACGGTCAATTTACCATCTGATTTATGTTTCTATTTTCGATAGGATTTTGGACGAGATTTACGATCATAATTACGACCAGATTTACGATCAGACTTACTATAACACCTAGAATCAGATTTACGATTAGATTAACATTCAAATTTCCATCATGTTTACCAGTTATGACCAGGCATATTGTCGGATTTGTGACTAGTTTTATGGCTAGACGGAAAAGTGAATTTACAACACGATTTCCGGTTGTATTAACAGCCATACTGGCGAATACAAACAAATTCACCATCAGAATTAATCAGGATCAGACACGCTATCTTAAATTTACAACATGGTTCAAAATCAGATTTCATATCAGGTTAACGACTAGAATAAAGGACTAGATTTCCAGTCAGGATGACAAAATGTGTCACCACGATTAGGTTTATAGTGTAATTTAAGATCTGATAATTTAATTTTTAATTGGATATATAACCAGATTTACAACCAGCCTATCATATCGTAACACAATTTTTAAAATATTACTTTTGTTTTTTAAAAAATTGCCTTGGATTCTCATTATGCAGTTTAGGCACAACAATGAGAGGACTACTTCAGCAATATCTGCTTCACTTTGCAGAAATACTTGAATAATTCAAACTGAATTACTACTTGCAAAAGAAAAGCAGAAAATAAGAAAAGAATGATAAACGAGCGGAAACTAGAATCTAGTTCTGGCAACAAGAGACATATTCTAATGAACAAAGGTTTGATCAGGTCTTGGTTGAAAAGATACTGTCATTATCATTCCACCAAATAAAAACATGAAGACAAAATCTGCAGTCCTTCCACGAAAAGATCCTTCCTCTAGCATCCTGCAATACCTATAACTGTGCACCAATTAAGGAATGCATGTTTTTACAAGAAAATTGATAAGCATAAACAAGGTGCATGCGCACAAATAAAGCATGATTTGTACAGCAAAAAGTGCAAAAAAATTAAAAAGACAAAGATCATATCATTTCTCACTTTTTTCACTATTTTTGCTGACCCTTTATTGATAATACAATGGCAAGACTTAAAGAACCCAGTAAACACCCTTTCAAGCATCTCTTCCATCTTGTGTAGTAAATTGTTACAACACAAACAATGGCTGGCTATATTTTTCCATAAATTTGATGCTTAAGAATAGAAATATGATATGAAGTACAATCCCAAGAACTAAAACAGAGATTCTAAAAACACAACTAACAGAATATCTGCTTCAACTGCAAATTTCCTATTAAAAGTTTTGAAATGAAAATTTTCCTAGAGTTGAATATAATACATAATGAATCATCTTCATAAAGGTATTTTAATTGTTTTTTTAATATATAAATGGATATTGTAAGTCATTTTCATAAAGGATACGTGAATATCATGTTGAAGAAGAAGTTAAAACCAAAGGTCCCAAAAAACAGATAATTTGTTACCAGCCTCCATACCTAGAATCAAAATAGGAAACAGTTCCATGAAAGAATGTTATTAAAAACATGATACAAAATTTCTTAACTGTTTTAAGGACATGTGTTTTGAACCTGACTGGCTAATGTAACAAAAATATATCTTTGCTTAGAAAAAGCACAGCAGTACAAATAAATGTAGGAGAATGTTTTGTTGTATTTGTAATTCTCAAACATCGTAATGAATCCTTTTAAAATGAATGGTCCTACAAAAGTCAATTCCAATATGTATAAATGTCCATAGATATTTTACTAAAGTTCATATTTTGGTGTTCACTTGATTCTAGAAACGGGCTTTACGCTTTACTGTCACATCCACAAACAAAATACAAAGTACAGCAAAGTACAATACAAAAGAGTTGATGAGTCAGTTAAATTAATAAGCCACGGGCAATGTCAAGCAACATTGTTCCTGGCAGGGATGATATTTTTTGGGTTGAAGAAGACACAAAATACCTTAAAAAAACAACAACAGAAAAACATGTTGGAAACTGTCTTGAAAAATTTTATATACTTACCTCAAATCTTTTTAATATTAAATCTGGGTTGAAGTATAATTGAAATGGGTTTATCAAGTCCAATTGCTGAAACAAGACAAAAATAAAACATTGTGAACTTCATTACATAATTTATTTTAATCATGAATCTTAACTCAAAAGTCAGACAGCTAATAAAAAATATCTTAGTTTTATGAAATTCATGATGACATGGTTCGCTTGAGTTTAATTATGATTGGCAAAGGTTTTTGAACAATTTTCAACTTATCTATGTAGTAATTAGTTTTAACATAAGAAATCTAAATCCTGTATTCTTATCATTCACAATAAATTCTTGAAGATGAATGAACTTGGTCCTTCCTTCATGAAAAAGAGTAGAAAAAAAGGACATCACATCTGGTGCAAGAATTTCCTACCAGATGAACAAGAATCCATTTTAGTGTTGCATAAAATTTTGCTTAAGATTTCAATTATTTTTTGGCCAACAATTTGGTTTTGAAGAGACACCCCATGTCTATCACACTACATATACATCCCAACACACCCCAAGCCTAAATGCCTGGTACAAATCTTTTTAATATTCCTTGCATATCTGCATTTCATTCCTTGTATATGTGCAGAAGCATTGACTAGGACTCAGTTGTAGAATGATTGGGGATTCTGCTTTGGTGTGTGTGAGCATTTGATCTGACTCATACACTGAGTCCTGGAAAGTAACAAATATTTAAACACCATAGACATAGCATTCCCACAATATGTACATACAGGAAGCTTTGTTACAAAAAACACAAAAAATAAGGCTCCTATTGTACGCGCTAGTTTCATGGAGACGTTTGTGTCTACCACATTGACAGGCTCAAAAATTTGCAGCTTTAGATTGGAATGTTTGGCACAATAAGGATTGGAAATAAGTTGGCAAAATACCATCGCAAATTATGATTGGAAACAAGGGACATTGGAAACATATGATGCAGTTGAGTTGCAAGGCACATTGGAAAGATATGATGCAGGTGCAGTACTTTATTAAAAGCTTTGTTCTTTTTGGATATCGAAACATTTCTTTCTATTTAGAGGAACCAATATGTATGAACCTATCTAAAAACTATATTTAAAGGTCCTGGTGTGCTAGGTTTATCTGTCATTAGCCGACTTCTTCGTGATAATTACAGATTGTGGTGATGAGATGACAAAACACTGCATATATCAATATTGAGATTTACCCTCTGCTTAGTTTGAAGGCGATTTCATCAAAAAATTTACGATGAAGAATATAAGCTACATACCACAGCAGTGGTTGTCAATACGCAAGCTGTTGTATAAAATCGAGTAACCACAGGAATTTGCATGTATTCCTGCTGAAAAGTTTGGTACGCCATCTTGGTTTGTTGATATTAGCAAAGCGCATGCGCACAAGAGAAGAAGACACGTCTAGGTTTGGTCAATTCAATTCAGTTGAACCAAATTCATTTCAGTTCAATTCAATTGATTTACATTAATTCTCAGAAGATATAGCGTTTACAGCTTTTAAAAAAGATGTTAAAATTAAATTAGTAGATTTGATTGTCAAAATATTCATGAAATACACGATTTCGAGCATCAAGAAACTGTAGAGAAAATAGGTATACAACTTTAGGCCGAAACGCAAGTTTCCCAAAGCTTCACTACTTTGTTTATTCTTTATTGTATTCGTATCTTGAAATTTACGAGAAGAGGGAAAATAAAAGTTCGATTCCTATGGAATGTTCTTAAAAAATAAATGTCCTTAGCTAAAGTCCCGGTCAAACGATCCAACAATTCACCCACAACAAGGTTTTGAGCAAAATGTTGGATCGTTTGACCACGACGTTGGGTCATCCAAGTCATCCAACATCGTTATTTTTTTATATGTTGAATGATTTTGACTGAAATCAGAAATGTTGGCTGGCTGCCGAAGATGGCCTCACTTTCCCTGAAGAGAAATTATAAAGAGAGGATGGTTATTGCCTTGCCTGCTTTGGTGACCTTAAAATACCCACTACAAAAATGAAATCCAGCATAAAGCAGTGAAAATCCAAAAAAGGAAAAATGGTTTTGAAGAAGAAAATGGCAATGAGGAAAGTAAAGCAGAGTCAGCTGAAATAATTTACCATGCTATACCCCATGCACAAAGTGGCAATTTATTTTCCAAAGTAGGCTTTTCAAAATACATCGCTAATATGTTATGCATGCCTAGAAGCCATGGACAAACAGTAAATCTACTGATAAAGGAGGTAACAAGTTATTTGGACCCTAACTGGCGGGAATCACCAATTGTTTGCTGTTCAAATAACACACGTAGATTTGCAGGAAAGTGGACGGCATTTTCTAATATATTATTTGAAAAATTCAACCTGCATTGTGTTTTTGCTTTGAAAAGCAACTATATCAAACAGGCTGAGTCAAGAATTCATAGCAGTCCGTTTTTTAGGGTCATGCAATTTGTACTATACCACCATGCAGTTGTAAAATGTTCTTGCAAATTTTTGATCAAGCTGAAAATGAGGCTTTAATACAATTCAAAGGGAAATTAGTCACAACCCAGCTTATTCAAAGAGCAAGAGAGCTGACAACAACAAAGAGAGATCTTATAAGAGAAGAGCTGCTGGAAGGCAAATGACCAGGAAACCCTGTATAGAGAGAAGCTTAGAGCATAATTTAAGTACTGTACTTGTTTACAGAGAGAACATTTTGAGAATTGCTGCTTGTTCTTGAAAGATATCATTGATTGTTTCATTCCGGTTAAATTACCCTTTTTCTACCAAAGGGGCCTCATATATTGACAGGAAACAACAGAAAATTCTCACCCGTAGTTCTCAGTTTTTTGCAAAAAAAGGTGCAAAAAGAGCCAGTTGCACAAGATGGTTTAGTAAATATTAAATTTAACATCATTAATAAGTTTCAAACAGTGTTAGCCTTTCGTGGTTCAGGTTGAATCTCATTCTGAATGTTATTCTCATGTTGAGTCTCATTCTGAATCTCAATCTCTCTGAAAAGCATGATGTGTACCATCCACGACATAGGAGGCAATACTCTGTATAACACAAGCAAAAGCTTATTGCCAAGCAGCCACGACTCATTTTATCTTCAGAATTTTTTATGACCATGGCAGGATTTTTTCAGATTGAATGGTGTTGCTCTATGTGGAGAAGTGACCGGCAGGAAAGGCCCTTTTTGTCCCTTGGCTAACCAATAAAGATGCTTCATATTGGGACATAAAATCGGTCGGCAGGATCCTTCTTTGAAATCAAACCAAACTCTCAGCCTTTTCAGCAATCAATTCCTACTAGATTAACATGCAGAGTATTTTTTTGATTTAATGAATGCCAAATCTTGGTAATATTCAGCACTGGAGATGATTGAGGAGATAGCAGTGTAATTTAACAAACCAACAGATTCTACAGAGCCATTTAGCAGCATATTCAGAAACTGTTTAGCCCTTCAAGGGTATTGTTACCATATTATGATAAGGACAATAAGGTTGTAGTTAATAGATAGAAAATGCCAAAACTTGCTTTGAGTTATTCTTGAATTTTTTGTTGATCATCGCAAGCAATAACGCTGGCTTGACAAACAGTTAAATTCAAGCTCAAAGCTCTACTGACTTCACTCTTAGTTGAAAGTACCTTTAGTGAAGCGTGAATTGTGCATAGTTGTTTGCGATTCGTTCACTAATAAAACTATCCATCTACTATCGTGTTATTTCCAAACCCAGCGAGTCTTATTTTACGTGCAGAGAACACGGAGTCAGAGAGACAAAGACAGTGCGTTGCGTGATTGTAACTGAACTATGAACTATAAACTGACTGACTTACATAAAAATTAACATGCTTATATACAGAAATGAATATCTAAAATTAACACAAATGATGTAAGGAAAACGAAAGATAGGAAGGGCAAGTAAAGGTGATGAGTAAATTGAATAGCGTGGCAAAGATTGACAGACAATAGGGATTAGCGAATGCGTGATATGAGAGTGACGTAGAGGATGCCTGTGCTGCAATGTGAAAATGTCGGAATGTGATAGAATGAATAAGAAGGTAAAATTGATGTAAACAGGCCTAAATAGTGTCCCTACATACCTTTTTACTACTTATAGCTGTTTACATAAAATGGCCATAGACAAGTCAACCATGTTGCTGATCTTTCTAGTTAAACAGTTTTATTTCTTTATTATAACTTCTTTGTCAAAAAGGAAATCATCAACTCAAAAGTTGGGCATGGAGAAAATAGCCACACCCAAATTTTTCAAAATTTGAGGGGAGGGTGTGACCATTGCTATTTGGCTGCCTATGCCACTGCTATCTGCGCGCGAAAGTGTTAGGTGAAGTGATGGGTGAAATGTTGGATCGTTTGACCAGGGCTTAAGGCTACCTGACCTACTGAAGATTTCTGCATTATAAAGCACACCCTTGTATCATAAATGGCTTTGCGAATGTGCAAGAATGTCAGTCCTAATACTTCGAATTTATACGTTGTAGATGACTTAACGTCTTTTCCAAAATATTCAATCTTGTTCTCAATAGGCGAACAGCCTTCATTCCCATGTGGATCGGTTCTCACTGCCATACCTCGCTGGCACCCAATTGCAACACAACTAACTAAATTTTAAGTTTGCTTTTCCTTGGTGAATGGTAAGTAGTAATAAGATTTTGACATCTCTAGTCCATCTTTAAACTTGCGACGAATCTCTAAAGAAAAACTACGATTTTTAATTGTTAATGATGACTATATGAAAGCAAATGGATTGGATATGAACCAAAATGTATTTTTCAAGGAAATTTTCCTAAATATTTAAAAAAGACCATAGTATCGCCTTTATGCCTGTATATAGGAAGAAGATCCCTTTCACAAGAAAAACTATAGACCTATAAGTTTACTGACAGCATTTGCGAAAGTAGTTGAAAAGGCAATGGAGCTTCAAATTTCGCCCTTTCTTGAAAAGAAACTCTCAATTTTTATATGTCTATAAAAACAACTTTTTCCTAGCATGCTCTATTTGGACTTTTCAAGGACTGGAAAAGGGTTTGAAGGCAACACATATATCGATGCTGTTCGTATTGATTTATTGAAAGCTTTGACTGTCTACCTAATATCTTTTTTGGCAAAAGTACATGCTTACTGAGATATGTTCTCTCTTGCATATACAAGATTACCTCACCGACACAAAACAAAAATTAAAAGACTACCAAACGCTACATAACACTACAGCACCTGGATCAGGCTTGTGCAAGGAGTACCACAAGGATAAATACTTGGCTCTCTGCTTTTTAACATTTTCATAGATAATATTCTTTACTACCTTGATAATGTATTACTGTGCAAGTTTGCTGATGACAATTCACTTTCTGTCACTGCAACTAATTCTGATTGACTGTAGAAACTTATAAAGGCCAAAACCAATAAATAACCAGAATGGTTTAAATTGAGCGAAATGACTGCAAATCTCTATAAATTTCAAGCAACTACCATTGGAAAAAGAGCCTATTAAGATGTTATTTAGCAAAGAAAGTCAGGACAAACTAGACTTACGACTAGCGTGTTTTGACTAATCAGCCTCCTTAAAGGATCTAATTGCCAACACGAAGGAAATTGCCATATATTCATCAATTAAAGTTTTAACGCTTGAAGAGTATAAAACTCTAAATCCTATTTAACTGAAGGACTATTTTTCGACAAATCTAACGAGTCATAACCTTAGTGTGCAAAATCTCCTTTTAACATTTTGACAAAGTCAAGGGCAAGGGCAAAGGCAAGAACTTCCAACAATGGAATCAATCACTCAGTTTCCAAGGGTCAAAGATCTGGAACTCATTTCAAATGAAATCAAACAGCCTGAAATTCCAAAGAATTCTGAAGTCTGATAAAAACGAACTGCCTCAAGCAACCCTTGAAATTGCTTCATGTTGGTCTGAATTAGTGTTTTCCCACTATTGTAACAGCTAACATTAAATATATCATACAACACAATACTTTAATTGGTATTGTGTTTTCAAGCCTTATCCGCGAAAGCCAATATACATTTGCTTTTAAGGAGGCAACGAAATTAATTAGCTTGAGACGTTGAGCTTGGGTACCTAATGACGCCCCCCCTTTCAAAGAGTCAATTCTCATGGTAACACCAAGTAATACTATAGAATTCAGGGGGTGTGTTACCTTTTGCTTTTTGCTTATCCTGCTGCCTTGAGTAAGAATCATAGATTGTGATTCAAGCTCCTATAACACCCAAGAGTTTATGGGCGTAGATTCGAAACTCTACCCTAAAGCTGCTTAATTCAACTTTGTAATCCAATAGAATGTCATGTCAGGTAGTTTCGTATCTCTTGGTCTCACAAAATGTGCGCAAACGGATGGGTGGGGCTCTCCCAACATTTCAAAGTCATGTAAATTGATCCTATTTCGGAGTTGGTTAGTTGATTGAGATGACGTCCATATGAAAAGCTGGGTTTTCTTTGCAACAAGCAAACTAAAAATTTTATCTTATTCTTCTTGTGTGTACATAGATGCAGTGACAGGGTTGTGCAATAATTTGTTGCGTCAAAAGAGATTTAATCCATGATGAAAGAACATCTTAAAGACTGCAGATGTTGCAGATTGTTTTTAATCTTGGGCGCTATAACTCAAGAATGCTGTTATAATGAAATTCAGGGACTTTAGAGAAGTCAGGAAAGGAGGTTTAGAGAGAAGCGTTCATTCTTTTCAGGTTTCAGAAAGATCTCAGTTGAAATCTTCTGAAATTTCTTATCACTTAATTGCTAAGGTAGGCTGAAGGTGTAAACAAAGTTCAACATGCAATGAAAAACATCGCCAAGGGTGAAATCAGTCAGAGATTCCCAGTGTAAATCCTTTGTTGTGTCCCAACCGGCACAAGTCATCTGTCATTTAAATCTATTCTTGTTCTTCTAACACTATGTTTTCTATGTAGCCCACTAGCATGAAAATAGAGTTGAAAATCATCCCCTGTCGAAACTGCATGACAGACAGATGCTCTGGTATAAAAGTTCTAGATTTCTGACTCGTTGTTTTTGCTAGTTCGGTGCATTTCAGAATAAAAAACACAAGTAGCTTTATAGGCACGAGATGAGAAGAACCGTTATAATGAGGTTGAGTGAATGTTTCCCTGCTGACCCAACAACGTATGTAAACAGTCTTAAACAGGAATATAAAAGGTACGGTCTTAAACAGGAATATAAAAGATAATTTTGTCAACGAAATCGGGCATTCTAAACATATGTTAGGGCAATATTTATCTTATTTCGTAAATCTAACGGTAATGTTTTCAAATAAACAGAGGATTAATAAAGACAAGCAAATTCTACTGCAACAAAGAATCAGTCCAAAAACAGTGTCTATGAGCACCGAGGTCAGAAAGATTTCGCGCCATTATGTCTGCTGATTCAAAAACATTTTTAAATAGAAAAAATGATTGTTTTGACCATCAGTATTCGGCTTTTTGGTTATTTGCAAGAAAGTTTCAGTTTTGCATACGAGAGTAATCATACATTTTGATGTGTGATACAGAAAATTTTCAAGTTGCAGCTCACGGATACATACCTCTAATACCATTATCAGGCAATAAAGATCCGTATAAATGGCAATCAGTACTTTAAAACTGATTGGTAAACAGTAATCTAAATTAAAAGTAAAGCATATATTTTTTATATATAACGTTGGTGGCAAACATTTTCACAGAGATTTTTCTCAGATTTCATCATCGTTAAGATTGTCATGTCAGCCATTTTGCTTCACATTTGCTATCATCATTTTGAATTGTTTAAGGTTCTTTTCAAAGGTATATACAAATCACAAGCAAGCAACTCAACGCATTTTATCAAGTAAAAGCCTTCTTAGGCCGTCCAGATACTGCAGCTTTTCATTTCTTGTGAGTTACTGCAACTAATGAATTCTCAAGAAGTTAAGCCAAAGATTTCCTTCGATGTCATCGGAATCATTCTCAAAATCCGAGAAATTCCCGTGATGTGTGGTTTTGTTGCATTCTTGACACACTTTTAGATTTTTAAGAAGCTGAGCCAATCAGTTCTGATGTCTTGCTGTCATCAAGACTCTGCTTAGACAGCCAGCAGTTGCCAAGAGATTTATAGTTATTTTATTCTTGGCAAGTATTTAGAGTTTTAAGAAGCTAAGCCAAATGAGTTCCGATGCCTTACTGTCATCAAAATAGTGCTTGGACACTAAAAAAATATCATATCATTCTTAATCCTCTTGGCAAGAGCCTTAACAAGCTAAACTTGTGACTGATAAATGACTGTCAAAAAATCCAGGAAGTTCTCAAAACCCGACGTAGTTCCATAGTTTTAAAACGTGGAGAAGCATGTTGCCCTTTGACTTGAGAAAGTAATCTTGTTCACAGTCACAGGAAAGAAGGTAATTCCGAATAAATTACTGGCAGTTGCTTTGGCTTGGAATCAAGGCGACCGGGAAAGAAAACATAAAGACCTCCCACCCACGACACTTGGGCATCTCTAAAATATTTAAGTTATTTGCACCGCAGATACAAATACCGCGCACAGGTTTTCAAAATCATTTCACGGCTGCATTTCTAGACAAAGGTTGAAGCCAAGATGTTGGTTGATGGCAATGTGTTGTTTGCTTTCCTTGTCTTCTGTGCATTGGAAATCAGTCATGGGTATTTCATCGATGATACTTCTGAAAGACAAGGAAACTTCGTACAAAGTAAGTTTAACAATGCCGTATGGGAAATTCTTCGTCAGACAGTAACGAAATCGTTAAATCTGGATTAGCAAAAATTTCAATAAGTTTAATTTCAAAAGATCAGTTCTACGTATGAAAAATTGCCTAATACATGGAAGTTTTAAATGCAATTTAATCTTTGACCTTATTCAAAACATTTTTCTATAAAGGATAATCTATGAGTACTTTATTTTCCATTCTCACAACATGTTTGGGAAAGACAATTCCAACTGCTAAAGTGTGAGCTTCAGTGTGTGCAAATGACTCCCTCGAGTTTCTTTTAAAATATTGTATTTGTTTGTAAGAACATTCAACCAGATATGAAAACAGAATAGGGCTACATACATTTCCTTGTTTGCAAATATAATATCGTCAAGCAGATTGTTAATCAGTTACGCTATGACACGTTTTGTTACGATAGGTTACCTTTTCTTTGCTACAGTTTACGTTCCATTACGATAGGCTACGTTACGCTCCGTTACAATATGTTTCGCCCTGTTACGATAGGTTACCTCCGGTTTCGATAGGTTGCGTTTTATCAGTTAGGAGAGGTCAATTTACATGACGAATAGCCATTATCATTTGTTGGCATTTACATGAGACTCTCATGTTAACTGCAGATTTAATGGTAGGGGCGGCCTCCATACCCGATTGGAGAAAATCCGCTTTGGTCAATGTGATAGGCTCGATAATTGACAAACAGGATATTGTAAAAGATAAAGATTCAATCGAGATAAAACTTATACTCCGCATAATAAAGGAATTGTTACTTTCTAATACAATCTCATTGACTAATAACAAAGTAATTTTGGTAATATGTTTCAATTAACAACAGTTTCATGCGAATGTTTTCTCGAACTTGTAAATTCATGATGACGAGGCATTCATTTTAATGTTAATTGTAAAAGTGAAAGGAGCGCTTTGTCTTCAGAGTTAAGTAGCATTAGGTTGACGAAAGAAGGCATCGCTTGTCGGGGCTTTGTCAGTTTCTATTAGCGACGTCCTCTCCAACACTAGGTTTTATTCAGAAGCAGTCATGTCGCCTGAAGCTCGTGAATTCAACGAATTGTGTCAAACTGTCGTCGCATCATCTTTTCTATGTTGACGACTTTTTAGCAGGCATAAAACGACAACGTCTACAAAGCGAAACGTCTTGACAGCAGAGAACTGACGTTGCTGCCAGTCGTAGGTTGGGCTGTGCCAAAGTAAAGGTGTCTGACACCCCTACTCTTGTGAAAAAACTTTTTAAATCTAAGATTAACATTTGATTGATTAACAACTAAAATTAATCTAATTATGAAATAATTACGGTTGCTATACAGGTTTGTGATTATGGCCTCAGACTGTTATCAAAGCATTTAGCAAGGTTTGGTTATGCGAACTCAAACGCATTGATGAAATGCACGTTCTTCATAAGAAAATTTTTTCAGCCCAGCCTTCAGACTTTCTTAAATATTTCCTAATTCCAGCACAAAAACATTCTTGACACTTTCTTAACGTAAAATTGAAAAAGGTTTACAATACTGGGTGATGAAATACTATAAATATGCTATATTTCTCCAAACAACCCTCAACGTCATAACTTCAACGTCATAATGAGGAAGTACAATTGGACCAACAGAGTACAATTGGTCATGCAAAGAAAGCCCAACAAACAGAACTGAACAAGCCATGCAATTGTCACAGACCGAGACATTTCACTCTTGCACGGCAATCTATGAGCTTTCTTGACCTTTTGAAGAACCAATCATGACTTTCTTATAAAATAGTATCTTATAAAAAATCGTGTATTCTTGATAAGAATATGTCGGCGATATTGTGTGTTTCTGAAATTAAAAGCAATCAGTTTTGTTTGAAAAAAGCAAGGCCTTGGAAGTGTGAAGGAAGTCAGATGCAAAGAGCAATCAGTTATTGCAATGCCAAAATTTATCATGCATTCAAATGACTTCACCTGCTTTCCTCACAAAAAACCAAAACATAATTCTTTGATATTGAAATTTCTTAAGATTTATTGCACAAACTCCCTTTTTCAAATCAAGGTACTATTTTGAAATTCGATATCCTTTTCTGCAATCGCTTTGAAAATTAGCTTTAACTTTCCAGGAAATCGCATTAGGTTTAACGCAATAGAGGATTAATCATTCAAGACAATACGTTTTGAAATCCTGAAAAAGCCAAAAATAGCAAGCTTGATTTTTTGAATCTGTTTAAAATATTTTACAGTTCAAAATAGAGTAAGCAAAAAGAGAAACAGAAAATAAAGGATTGAAGTTTGTCAATCATCGAAAACATATATTTTAACATAATAATGATGGAACAAAGTTATCTATAAAATCTCCCTATCAACTCTGTTTCAAATTGCTAGCTCTAGAACATGGCGTTTGCTTCCCTTTTTATAGAAGTTTATGACAGCAACTTACTTCAATGATCTTCAGCTGCATGACCAGGCAACTTAAAGGCAAATCTTGCTTCTATGATTGCAACCATTGTCGTTGAATTCACAGAAGATATCTTTTCAATAATCCTAAATCTTCTTACAATATGTCCCACTCTTTTTGGTGCTGTTTAGCACAAAGTTCCCTTGCCCAGTTGTTTTAAAATCGGTTCATGAGAAAAATATAATAGTTGTCTGACTTATGCTTTTCAGATATTTCCATGACAGAGCTTTAATAAATGCCTGGCTGTAGTTTTCCTGGCCAGTAGCAATTTTTTAAATTTAAAAATCTTACTTAGCGGGTATTTTAGCTTTACAAACTGCTCTATACTTACGGTAAATAAATTTTGGGACACCTTCCAAAAAGGTACTAAAGTACTATTAAGTACTGAAGACACATATTTAGAGAGATTCACAGAATATTGTTTATTCTTTGATGGCTGTGGGGTTTGCCATTTAATTTAAAAAAAATCAACGGTAAATGTATTGTAGGCCTTAAAAGCCAACTGGGAGTTTCCATAAATGATGAAATAACTTATAAAAAGCAATCAAAGATTGTTTTTGCAAAAATAACGGTTAAAGTTGAAGTTTTGTATCCGTTGTGTATCATTATAATGATTTTGACAATCGGAAATAATTACGTAGATTTAGATTTTGAAGGTTCGAAATTGGGTTCTGGTTAACAGGCTAGATCTACCCAAAAGAAGGAAAGCGTTCTTTGTCTACCTTCTAAGTCTATTTGAAAGAATCCTGAATAGCATTTCACTTACAGCATCAACTTATCTCAGGTATTTTATTTTTCAGATAACTTCGAGCGAGATCTGAATGTTGATGAGATTGGGAACAATGTGCTTATGAAAAGTAAGTTTGTTTACAAAATCGCTTAAAGGCCCTTAAATCGACCTTCAAAAGCGAGGAAACAGCCAACAGGAAAAAGTTTTTTGTCTGATTCTTATGTTGATATTTAAATTTCACAGATATCCCTTAGTAGCAGCAATTATAATATTTAGCATGCTCTCATTGGACACAGTTTCCGCACTGAAATTTTTCAGCTATTGTTTTCTAGAACATAGAATATACCCTTTAATTAGCCAAATTTGGGAATGTCTGTAGAAATTATCTAGTGTACCAATACCAGAACTATCTGCTGGTTCAGAGATTTAATGTTAAAGTGCCTAGAGAACACTAAAGGAAACACAACAGTTGTATCCAATCCTTCTTCATTGTACACCTCGGTACTGATTACCTATCTCTCTATCGCTGTTTCTGTTGCTTCTTACCTCACAACCAACCAGACGTTTTATATACTTTTAGTCTACGCAACTAAATATGTCTACCAATCAGCATTTAGAAAAACCGGATACGAATTTTACGTCAAAGATTTTTTATGAATAACTTTAAAATGCATATACGGATTAATAAATGTCGTTAAGCTGTTTGTTTAGACCGATGAATAGTTTGAGTCAGCCCATGATTAGCCTGAGTCAGCCTAACAGTTCGTTAACCAAGTCTATTACGGATACCTACACAAACATTAATTACCCAAGCAACTCTATGAATTAACAAGAAGAAAAAACAAATCTCTTTGCTAAAAGCATGTGCTGCAGTGCTATATTAAATGCGCTGGCATGAATGGAAAATCCCAACAAAGTCTTTGTGGCTAAAGCGATCTTATGGTGCTCTTAATTCAAAAACAGTATTTGATAGTTTTTGGATGTACATCTTCTGAACTACAATTTTTTTACAATGTTGGATAGGGTTGACAAAACGCTAGTTGCAAGGACAATATTATATTTAGTTATAAGAAAGTTGGATTGTGAAATAATGCGTTGGCTTGAATGGACGAGAAAGACCAAAGCTTTGACATTCTCTCTTCTAATGACGGCTCGACTGTGAATGAAATTGAAAAAAATTTATAAGCAGTAGAAATTTCAAACTTAGTGGTAGATTTAAGGTTGTGAACAGATATAGGCTTTTAGTCGAGCAGACTGATTAACGATAAAGAAATTTGGGAATGTGGGCAGATGGGGTTGGAAAATTAGTCCCAAATATAGAGGAAATGCCACTCTATAGGGCACTTATTGTCCTGGGTACCAGATCCCCAGAATTTCGAGCGCGAAAACAGAATTCCAAGCAGAGAAGCAGAGGAGCGTCTTCTTCTGAGACAGAGGCTCCTCCGCTGCTCCACTCCTATCTTCTATTTCTGCTCTGCAATTTATGTGGCTCTGGTACCCAGGGTAGGCGCTTGTATACCAATACCATCCCCTCCCATCAAAGGGATTGCCAGTGTATTTATTATAAAGCTGATTTGCTTGAACACCCATCTGAGAGTTCGCTACTGAATGAAAGAGCGGGTTGATATTTTGTGGGAATAGCAAGAATATTATTTACATCTTGTTATGGAATTCAGCTTGATGATAGGTTAATTAACATACTCCAAGAGTTATTTGCAAAGAATTGGCTAAAGATTTGACCAACCTTCATCGTAAACCAATGACGATTTCTGTACAAAAACTGAACATAGTGATGCAATATTGGTGGCGAAGATCGTGAGAAAATTAGGTCAAGACAGCCAATTTTACTTATGAGAATAGTTGAGACAATGGGAAATTTCTCAAGAGGATACAATTCTGATACGTCCTGTTGAGTTCATCTGCATAATTCAATATAAAGGATTGGCCTCTTGAGAGTATGCATGAGATTAACAATTGCAAGTAGCTTACTGATTAAATAATGGGCGGGCAGCATTGTAACAGAACATTGCCACCCTTGAGAATATTCGCTATGGGTTTCTTATGTTCTCCTGCTTCCAATAATAGTCTCAATGGGATTCTGTCTTAAGAATGAACCAGGGATGGGTCCAAGAATCGGTTTTGCGGGGATTGGGTGTGAATAGTCGTTTTAGCAAATCCATAAATGGCTGATGGGCTTGAACCTAGACTTACTTATAGGAACGTAGGCTTTCCGTTAAAAGCAGTGACGTCAGAACTAGGGATGAGCCAGAAGCAGGTAACCCTAGCTTTTGGAAAAATTCTCTTTTCCAATAAATAAACATGCTTTTTAAAAAATCCTCTTTCACGAGTATTCTTTTTTCTACGAATTGGTGCCACTCCCTATCTTTCCCCAAACTCTGAAAAGTTTAAGACGTCACCTTTTCAATGATTACATCCATCATTCTCGACTAGTTTAGCATTTATTACCAGGAGAAACTGTCTCCTTTTTTACCAACTTGTTTTTATTTAGCCCGTGACCTAAACATGACAATGTAAGCAGTTTTAAATTTTGGAGTGAATTTTGCTTTGAATTCACGTTTTCGCAGATAAAATCGACGAGGCACCTTGTCAGATATTCACCACGACGTACGGATGCTGCTGGGACAACAGAACAATAGCGAGGGGGCCCACAGGAGCAGGTTGCCCAGGTCAGTGGTCGGGACGATTATTAAACAAGTTTTTGGGACATTTGTGTACAAAACATAACATTATGACGTCATGAAATCAATATATCACCGTATTTTACAAACAAGCTCGCTTAGCATCGTCCTTAACACACTTATGGACGGGAAGGGGCTTTCTGGAATTTTATATTACTGGGAAAATTTATCTAGTTATCGCAAAATTATATCCAGAAAAAAACAGCAGGACGTTCGAACGAATTCAAAAGCTAGATTCCAATTTTCGGGGAAAATGGCTACCTGATTGTCATTTACGATTACATAGATCGATGATAAAATGTTTTTTCCTAAGAACTAATTTTGAAAACAGCAATCTATCGGCTAGAACGAGTAGGCTCGTCAAGAAATCCCGAATTGCGTCTCAATCGTGTTACATTGCAAAAGTTCAAGATGATTTTCGACATGCGTAAATAATTTCATAAAACATGTAGATGCCTTGCAGTGTGAGTAGGTCCCTATAGATGACACAACTATCTTTATTTGTTACCTAGCATGCGAGGATATGGACACAATGGAATGTAGAGCCAGAAAAGACATGTGTACAAGCGCCGAGTTCAGAAGACAGTGCCCTATCACTTGCCAAGTGCCTTGTGGTGAGTCTTCAATTTGCAGGCTCTAGCTTGTTGTGTTTGAAAAGATCGGTAAAAAGAGGCAAGTTGATCAATAATCTCGGATTTATAGCTGTTTGAGATTAAATACAACAGCGATGTCGTGTTGCGAATGAAACAATTCGAGATTACGAAAAAAAAAACTGTACTTAGAGCAGAGACGCTGGGACGACCAAGGTGCAAGGGGGGGAGGGGGGGCTTGAGTTAAAAAGGCATTTGAAAGATATTTCCCCGCTTCTGCTATTTCTTTCGAACCTGCCATTTTATTTCAATCTTCTAAAGGTATCTTGAAAATTGGCTAGCATAAAGAATAATATTAACAAGTTTTGAGAAATGTCGTCATGAATAAGGCATTGCAGTCAGAATTTCATATGAATCTCTTTGATAATTACAAAATGGCCGCTTTAAGAGCATTCTAATGAAAAGGGCACTTTGGCCCCCTTGCCCCTCCTATCAAAAATCAACAGAGGCGTTTGACCCCCGCGCCCCCTCTCCGTCGTCCCTGAAAGAGTTTTGTCAAAGCCCTTTTCCCCAAAAGGGATAAAAGAGAAACATTTGAAAAAGAGCAACTATACTAAATTAAATTGTGTATGATTTGGTTGAAATTTTCTGTATTTGATGTACTTGAAATTTAATAAGAATACAAAGTGCTGTATTGGTAACAAAATATGTTACCACGCAGGGTGTAAAGACAGATTTGATTCCTGGCTGTGCAGCAAGATAAGGAAACTTGGAAACTGTCAGTGGTTGGGATCACAGTGTATGCAAACATGTAAAAAATGCTGGTAAGTCAGCCTTTGGACTGTTCTTTCATGAAGTACTTCAAAGAGAAATAAAAAAAGACGATACAGAGCGTATCGGATTCAAGCGTCATCGTGTGAACAGAAAGCCTCTTCGATATAAAAATTTTAAGTTTATGATCCCTAAAGGAAAAGTACAAGAATCTAGGAAAGGGAAAATCTTTTTTACAAAGGAAAAGAAAAGGTTATTTTTTGGAACAAATTTGAGAAAGTTGGTAGATAGTTTTGAAAAGGGTTATCATCATCAGGTACCATCTTCTATCAGAAGGTTGGCTTCAACTATCCCAAAATCTGAGTTTTGGTTTGTTGTCATGGTCATAGATAAAGAGAATGTAAAACAATTGTTGCAAAGATATCTAGCTGTTACAAGTATCTTGGCACAATAATTGTCAAAAAAGATATCATCAAAATAGAAATCTTGGAAAATTTTATAAACATTAAGATGCCAAACAAATGGCTTCATCGAAACTTAGATTTCAGAAAACGCCTCAGTCTTTCTTCCGTTGAATTTTGTGCCATTTCCCTTCCTCAAAAATTTCCTTGTGTCTTTTGAATAAAAGTTTCTCAGAAATGGAATTTAAGTAAAACCATTTATGGTTTGGTCTTCATGATTTGTCTGAAAAAAAGCTCCAGCACAACGGTAAATTATCTTACTTTCGTGAGCCCTGATAAATGGCGAATGCTTGAGGTATAAGTTGCCTACTTACATTTGATGACAATTTAACAATTACAATTTTTGTGCATTGCTTCCCGATCTAAGTTGATGGAAATTGAGCATCGTGTTCGATTTCTTGGCAACACAAGAACAATAGCTGATGTTAAAGTGCATCCTAATTTAAGCATGATGTAATGATATTCAATAATGCTCTATAGGTACACGTGTTGCTCTTCTTGGTTCCCTTTAGAATTGCTCAGCACAAACAGGATTGTCCACATTTGTGCTCTTTCGCAGAGCTCGAGCTAGCATTGCATTTAGTTTTCTACAAGGGAGCATTTCATAGTTATTAGCATTCATTCTACTTTCTAGTAATGATAGGGTTAAAACTGACAAAACGTTTTATCATTTTAGATACAGTGAAGATCGATAGATTTTAAGAGGCAGATGCTGGATATGCGAGTCTTATTAATATCAAATTTGTTTTACCATGTATATATTAATTTATTGTTGTCAAGCTTGTTATGTAGAGCCTCATAAATCCTGTTTTTATTTGCTAGAGTATAATTTAACTCTATTCCTTTAAAATATTATCTTAAAACAAAGGATTTGAAGTAATAAAACTGTTTTTATCGCTTTGTTTACTGTCTTTGTCATATTTGTTTGTTGACATTGTCACAAAAATACCGCAATGACCATTGAATAGGCGTTTACTAAAAAACTGTTTGCCACTCGCAGTTAGAGGCGCAAAAAATATTTTTAAAGTTTCCTTCATTTCTAAGTCTAAGAAATCAATCTTGGAAAACAGAACTTACTTTCTATCTTTATCTTATTTTCGAAGTTTTAAGACTATATTTGAAATCATCCGAATTCTGAAAGTTTTCATATAAGATCAAATAAAGAATTGATTAAAAGATCCAGTGAAAATAGGATTAATTGATGGATTGAAATATGCAATAATAATCGTCGATAAACCAAATAATAACAAAAGGAAAAATTCAGTGTTTACAAGTACTTGAGAGCATGAAAATCATATAACAATTCAACCCATGTGATTTTTGACAGCAAGGAAGAAATTGGTCGATATTTTGCAGCAAAGATCAGCACTTTGAAAATGGTGTGTTCCTCGTACCATTTTGAACGACCCAAATGCCACATTTTCTCATTATGCCAATACTTTGACAGACTCGACAACATTTCAATGTGATGAAATATAAAATTAATTACTACCACAGATGAAACTTAAATCAATATACAAAATTTTACGATTCCATTCAGAAACGTGCACCGATCATATCCTGCAAAAGTCTCAAATAAGATTTATCTGCCATTTACGAAATAAACAAAGTGCGCATATCATTTCTTGTATTCAATTCTGTCGACTTTGACGTCATCTGCACGAAGCTGGTAAACATATGTAACAACTGTGGTTGATTGGATATCCATCAGTACGAAGGAAGGAACAATACTCCTGCAAAGGGATAAACATATAATTTAACTGCAGCTCGAGAGGGTTGAGTTGCTGAATTTGGTGTTATAACCAACGCACCTAGTAAAAGCCTTTTCTTGAATATCCACAATAACAGACAAAACAAAATAACAGACGGCTCAAAACAATAGGAAAGCAATTACTGGGGCACCCCAAAATAACCACACTTGACAAAAGCCCTGTCAAAGCAACATCGAGACATCTGGAATATCCTTAAAACGGACAACTCTGGTGTCATATGTTTAGATTAAATTAGAATCCAATGGAATGTCGTTCTCGTGGTTTATCTGAATCTTCAATCATTGCATATATCGGTGGAAGTTGATTTAGAATTAGGCGTGTCTAGTGACATCACAAACTTGGAAGATATAAAAATTTTTATTCCAGTTAAAGGGATACGGAGCTAGGTGCGATAATTGTTGAAACAAGGAACCATTCTCTTAGCAATAGACTACTTACAAGCATTTTTTGATTGTGCTGATCTTTTTGTTCTAACATTGGCCTAACATAACAAGTGTCTAAAATCTTTAACATTGACTTTTCTCTGTAATTTTGACCACAGCAAGCCGACCAAGACAGGACTAAAGGTAATTAGCAATGGAAAATACTTCAAGGCTATTCACAACAATTTAGATGGTTGATCATCATAGAACTGCCAAACACCCATAGATCAAGAAATTAAAAATGACAATAGATAAAAATATTAAGCAAAGAAAGACTACCAGAATCTCATTCAACAGGTGAAGTGACTCAAAAACTATTGGTACTTACATTTCAAGTGGGTGGTATGCACCTGTGGCTGACCCTGGGTTGATATAAAACTTCCCTTCATGTTCATAAGCCTCAAACTGCCAGTGAAAATATACAGTTAATAGTATTTTGTCAAAATTCAAACTTTACCTTCACAAATCCTATTTAATGTATCTCACCACCAAAGGCAAAGAGAATTGATTTTAACTTTTCTTAGAGCTTTGATAGCTAAAAACCAAAGACTTCTAGGTTAACATTATATAAAATAAGAAAAGCCGGCAAAGAATAAAAGCTATTTAGGTGAAAGAAGGCTTTAAATTTTTGTCAATTTGATAGCTAAAACCCAACTTTTCTTAGAGCTTTGATAGCTAAAAACCAAAGACTTCTAGGTTAGCATTATATAAAATAAGAAAAGCCGGCGAAGAATAAAAGCTATTTAGGTGAAAGAAGGCTTTAAATTTTTGTCAATTTGATAGCTAAAACCCAACTTTTCTTAGAGCTTTGATAGCTAAAAACCAAAGACTTCTAGGTTAGCATTATATAAAATAAGAAAAGCCGACGGAGAATAAAAGCTATTTAGGTGAAAGAAGGCTTTAAATTTTTGTCAATTTGATAGCTAAAACCCAACTTTTCTTAGAGCTTTGATAGCTAAAAACCAAAGACTTCTAGGTTAGCATTATATAAAATAAGAAAAGCCGGCGAAGAATAAAAGCTATTTAGGTGAAAGAAGGCTTTAAATTTTTGTCAATTTGATAGCTAAAACCCAACTTTTCTTAGAGCTTTGATAGCTAAAAACCAAAGACTTCTAGGTTAGCATCATATAAAATAAGAAAAGCCGGCGAAGAATAAAAGCTATTTAGGTGAAAGAAGGCTTTAAATTTTTTGTCAATTTATAGCTAAAACCCAACTTTTCTTAGAGCTTTGATAGCTAAAAACCAAAGACTTCTAGGTTAGCATTATATAAAATAAGAAAAGCCGGCGAAGAATAAAAGCTATTTAGGTGAAAGAAGGCTTTAAATTTTTGTCAATTTGATAGCTAAAACCCAACTTTTCTTAGAGCTTTGATAGCTAAAAACCAAAGACTTCTAGGTTAGCATCATATAAAATAAGAAAAGCCGGCGAAGAATAAAAGCTATTTAGGTGAAAGAAGGCTTTAAATTTTTTGTCAATTTGAGGCTTTCATAACAATAACTAATGACAAATTTACCTTGTGTGTTTGCCCTGTTATAAGAATATCTACATCAAGTTGCCTTTGAACCTGAAAGTTCAAAAAGGCCAGATAAAAACTAGCAAATAAAAAAGAAAACCATTTGTAAGCATAACAACTGAATTGAAAAAAATTGTTGCCATGAAAAACAAAAACGAGAAAAATGTTGGTAGCCAGCATATATTTGAGATGCTTGAAAGTCATCCAGTTACATCTGATTGAAAGCACATGCAATCATTGGGACATGCTAAGTTGCATGTATTTAAGTGCTGGGCAATATAACAAAGCATCACAAAAAGTATTAGAAGGAATTTGCACAGCTTTTCCTGGTTGACAAATGGCATTACTAAGAATAGTTGAATACCATAGATAAACTCTCTGGATCTCCCCATGGGACAATTTGATGACCATGGCACAACCCAATTTTGAACTGTCCAACAGTCACAACTTTTTGTTCTGGATATAATAAATTCTGAAATGAAATGAGATTGGATTATTAAAATTTCAGCTGAATTTTATAAACTTTTGTAAGACAAAACTTTTGTATGATGAAAAACTAAAACACAAAGGAAAAATTCCAACAAACTGAACCTTTCCTAGCTGTTTTGAACTGAAAATTATAAAGAAAAACAATTGCATAGATTTATCATTGATAACTTTATAGTTAATATTGCATTGCCTTTTTATAAATGTTAAAGATAAGAAATTTAGCCTAAAAAGAAAGCTAAGTCACCATCATCAGCACAGTTGCCTATTAGAGATTTTTACTCTCATCAGATGCACCTTTATTAGTCTGACAAATTTGTCAGTATGCAAAAAATATTTGTGTTTCATCATTTTTCTCCTCAGTATTCTCCTCATCATATATTATCCAGCATAGTCAACTCTGATAACTTTTTCCAATGTTTAGGGGATTTATTGGCTGTTTCATTAAAGAGGAACTTATTTTGAAGTGAACTTTTATCTTGGCGTGCGATGTGTCCAATATATTTCAGATGCTGGATGTCACAAAAGTGAGTTATCTCTTAGTAATAACTTAGCAAGTATTTAATACTGCAATATTGACACTCGCAAAATGTGAGTCCAGATCTAAAAATATAATCAGTTTTTTCTGGAACAAAAAAACAGCTTTTATGTGCTTAACTTTGAAATAAAATTCTATATTACCTCATCAAAGTCACCACGCACAACATGCACATCACTTGCTAAAGTCTTTAGGTAATCATAAGACTCTTTTGTACACAGATTGCCAGTGCAGAGAATATGTTGAATTTTTCCTGGTACCTGAGATGACAAAAACAGATAAGCTGAACTTATTATCAATGTAAGAACCCATTGTTTGTCTTCCAATAGGTGTTGTCAAGGTACCATAGACCCAACATACAAGTGTAATATAAGCAAAATTAATGAATCACTTTTAAGTTCTTAAAATCAATCAATAGACCAAGGAAGAAGAATAAAAGTTGGGGGTGCATGTAAAGAAAAAAAGATGCACCTCCAAGCCTCTCAGTTTGAGGTGCCTGATTACGCCTCTGCTTCTCGGCATTCACCTACTAGGTGAGACAAGATACACATTTTTTCACCGACCTTCTTCCAAAAAATTAACAATATCGCGCACCTTCACCATTTCCAATATTGCGCACCTTCACTATTTTTACCACTTTTTTACCACTTATTTATAAAGACTTTTTTACCAGAAACTTTGGTTTGTTGCCCCGGAATCATCTTTGAATTACAGTATTCACCTTTAGGGAATCACTAGCCTGCATCACAAACCATAACTCCTCCTCAGTCTAGTGCTTTGCTTGTTTATTACATTACTGATATGAATTCGTGTTTGGATCAAAATAATAGAAGTTTCCTTTTTTGGTTTCTATAAGGCTTGAAAGAAAAAAGCTTTATAATACTTTGGTACCACAAAGCCTAAAAATTCACATGGAAAAGCTGTAACATAAATAGTGTTGATATTACCGGTTTTCCATACGTTTTAGACAAGAAGTTATGAATTGCATGCCTGGATAAAAAATTTTGCTTTGAGGCGTGCGACCAGCCACACACCTACTAAAATCTTTACAAAGAGACCCGCACTTCCATGATCTATTAAGAGACACCTTACCTCTATACCTAAAAGGTGAGGAAAGAGGTACCTGGGTTTCTATGCCTGTGAAGCCATCATAATGAGGCCTGATGAGAAAACTTACCAATATTTTCAATAGTAGTTTATAAGGAACACCACAATGCGATGAGAATAAACAACGACAAACACAAAAATCAGTGATGGCTAATATTTTGCCCCGGCATACTGGGCTTCAACAGAACCAATATTTTCAATGGCTTTGTTAGCAAGAAGGTTCTAGGTATAGATATAAAAATTTGTTAAATGTTTGTTTGCTTTGCTTGTCATTCTAAAAAGATGAGTAAGATTTCACCAATTCTTATCTTATTTACATTAACTTTATGCTGTCCTGCTTGTTTAGACCATCATAAATTCTGTATTGGGTGTGCAAAGGTTCTAAATCACAACACATAATATCATTGGCTATTCATTTATTGACAAATTTGACAAAATGATACCCATCACCAGATTTGGCATAGTAGAAATTCCAAAAAACATGATCCTTCATTTGAACAACACACAAGGCACCATAGATACAAAAAACACAAAGAATGGGACAACATACAAACAAGATAGAAACATTATCAACTAAATATTCTTTCCAAGCAACAAATACAATTAGGATTTATTTTAGAAATTTAGAATTTATACTTACAAGAAGCTTTTTGAATTTTGGAGGCAAGCCACTTTTTCTGTGTGGAATATGAAGATCACCTAGTACCAACACCAACTGAAAAACAAACCAAAAATATTTAAACATTGAAAATGACATGATTTACATTCACATTGATAGTTTTCACAAAAATACTGATAAAAAGAGATCAAATGATGAGAAAAATATCAATATCAAATATAAAAAGAGATCAAAGGATGAGAAAAATCAACCAAGCTATCAAAATGAGAATGAAGGGAAGGATTGCATATTTTATACATTGTCAATAGATAAGCTGTAATTTTCATACCATTAAAACATAATTTAAATTGGGTTGTTAATGACTGAACACATTAGTCAATGTCATTTGTCACCACTTACTAGGCTTATACAGAAGAAGATAATTTTAACTTTGTCAGACGTCATTGCATATAGTGCACTGAAACTATAATCAAAGAGCTCAATGCAATGACTACAAATCATATGAGTAGAATAGTAAAAAACCCAGTGTATCTTTCTGTCTTTGCTACAATTTCCTACATGCTGATGTCAGAACTATGCATAAGGTCAGTGTCATCCTGCAAAGGCCAAATTGTTATATTACTGCAATTGGTTTTACCCTGCAAATCTCGTTACTTTCTTACATTTCATTGATTTTAATTCCCCATGTTAATGGTATTTCTCTGTCAACATTGCCTCACAATGTGATTTTTCATTTTCAACTCTTCCATTGTTTTAACCTCGTGCATTTACATTGCCATTATGTGCAAAAACAAATTTGCTTAGCTACTTCCATTCATTTACAAAGAAGATATTATTGTATTACTATAGGTATCTGCTATGTCAGCTAGGTAGATTAGTACATATGTAAGTCTGCAAGTTAGACTTAGCTAGACCTTTTCTATTTAAGGTGACCCCCTTCCTAGCGACAGTCAGAGGAGTGCAAATTTCATTCGCAAATAAGTGCAAGTAATCTTTTTATGGCATGACATTTGCAGATCTAATTATTTTCAAATGGAGGTTAATACACCTCTTTTCTTTCAGAGGCTAATCTTTGCAATATATGTTAGGGTTATTGGGTGCCCACATAGCGGGCTTTGTAGGGGGGCTAGTTATTTTCTGTTATGTTAAAAAACACTGACTTCTTGAGTTAGCCTACAGAAACTATAGAATATTGCAAAAACAAGCGCTGAAAATTATCTCCAAATCAAGTCAATGGAGTCTAAAGGCAAAGACAGTGGCTTGGATTGCTGCATCAGCTAGAAGAGGATGTGCACAAGGAGATTTTAACTTTTGTAAATTGCTTGCTTGTAGACATTTTAAAGCAAATAAAAACAATTCTGAAGTAGCTTCAATCTTTCAGACAAAATGTTGTCACAGCACTATCTATAGTTCAAGCAGTGAGAAAGGACCTTAAGGAATGATGTATAAACTTGAAAGAGGTTCAATGCAAATTTGATTGCTTTTTCGAAAATCAGCAACCATTTTCACTGAAGTCAGCAATCATAGCGAAGAAGGGCATTTGTTCCCAAGCAACTTGATGCTTCAAGTATTTAAGAATCAATCAGTAAGTTGAGTATATGATTTTGAAACAAAAATGATAAACTGAAAATTCAACATTGATTTGGGGGAAAGGGGGATCTAACAGGGGCAACATATCAACTTTTACTGCTGACTTCACATACGGACTATAAGGATTGCTTGATTTTTACATTAACAAAGGTAGATTTCCCTCAACGAAATTCTTTATGAGCAGAGAGGGACTGCAGTCTTGCATGCCTGGCATTTGATAATAAGATTTTGATGGAAGACATAAAATTTGGAAATTTTCTAGCTGAAAAGAAATTTAGAGGGAGAAAGTTGTTTAATTGCTAAAGATGCCACCAATAACCACCCTCCCTCCCTACAAATAATTTCACTTCAATCTTCAGCTGCATTGAACATGGGGAGTTACCACCCCTACTCCACAGGTCTGGCTACAGGCTTGAAGATTTTTTTTTTGCAAGATATGTACATTCAAACAAGATAGGCAACACTTATAAAAACTACACTGTGCCTTGCAGTTTTCAGTGACTTTGCGGTCATGAGGTACTATGCAGAATCATACTCTACTGACTGGCAATTTGAATAACGGTGTGTCAATATGAAAAATGAAGATTGTTTCCATCTATGTCCCCGAAGCACAGTTTTCAGTGATGCCAGCAGAGCCTTTCTTGCCTGTGAAGGGTCCAATTCCATTTATTGAAACGAGAAAAAAGCAAGCAGGTTGAGCTTTGTTCAATATGTAGAGTCCAAGTGAATTGAATATCTGGATCGCTGATTTATCGCCTGATCAACTGGTCAAATGACCTTGACTTGAAATGTATGGTAAAAACTGTAACAACTCATAGAGAACTGAATTTTCATGTTCTGCGAGCCAAAACACCAAAAAATCCTACATCAGGTAGGATTGCCTGCTTTCAATTCAACACAAGAAAGTTATTTAAACCACCTACCACCATTTTGAGCAGAACTGTTTCAGCAAATCAGCCTTCTTTCCTTTGCGAAGTTAGGCCAGTGGTCCTTCCCTTCTCTTCCTCTTTTCAAGAACCTCAATGTCAACATATTTAAAACGAGGCTGACACAGACACCAAACTTCAACAACAACATCCATATTTTTCAAAATTCAAACTTCAAGATGACGACGGCGAAAGGGCCTGCTCATCGCTCCGACCACTCTTATGATGAACGAGACGACATCTTCTTTGATTCTGACGACGAGAGGGATTCAGCGGATGCTGGAGATAATTCAGATGAAGGTATAAGCTACGAGCTTTTAGCGATTCCTTGAATAAGCCTTCATTCAACGCAATTACCTGTCATCTTGTTTGTCTCGAGAGTGCATTTCTCAGCAACCCAAGTTGATGAAAATATAATTTGCAGATAACATCCAGATAAAGAATTTACATGCTTATTAAACTTTTAATGTTGTACTTCAAACTGAATGCTGTGTTACTAGAAAAAGGGTAAGTTTAACGAAACTAAGTTGAAATGTATTTTGAAGAGGGAATCCTCCGTGGTCCCTTCGGCAAGCAAAATTTGGCTCGAGAACTGTACTGGTTTTTTGAGCTCTCAATAATTCGCACAAAGTTGGTCGCATTTTACAAAATACATTACAGTCTGATCCTGCTTTACATATTTTTTACAATCTTTGTTTCCACTTACACCATATCAGTCCAATTGATATAAGTTGGAGGTTAAGCCAGGACCAATTTCCATTTGCCTTTTTGGCATTCATTAGAAAACAAGAAGATTCACCAGACAAGAAGTAATGAATAGTTTATATGCTTACTATACGAAAGCTATGGAATGTGTTATGTCATTGAGATGAAGACTCTGACAGAGACATTGACATTCCTAGACATTTTAATAACACAAACATTTCTTTTGTGAACTTTAAATACATTTTTCACAGAATCTTTATTACATCTTTATGGGGAACAATTTTTTTTTGATCTTTTTTCACATCACACTTTTCTTGACTTTTTCATTTGACCAACTTTTCATTTTGTATTAAACGCCTCCCTTTGATAAGCGCTGCATCCTAAAGTTGGATTTTGTAATAAATGCACTGAAATCTTTAGAGGAAATACAGTATTTGTGGTGATAAGTCGGTTGAGTGTTCATCAGATAATCTGGCTCTTTGAACAGAATTTTTGGCAGTGTGTTAAGAAAGGTAGTTGGATCAGTGGCAGCCTGGCAGAGGGGGCCTTCTGACATTTTTATAAGGACACCAAAGCTTGTATAGGGCGCCTAAATCTCAAAAAAAGTTTGATACAACCGACTTGTCTGGTTATTAGGTCTCTAGGAGGCCAGCAAAGACAAAAAAGATGCCGTGAAATTCAAAACTTTTATAGGCACATGCCCCAATACCCCCTAGATCATTCTCACTTCAAGGGCACGTCTTTGTGCCCCTTCAGTACTGTATTATCCAGACAAGACACTTGTACTGTTCGCAGGGGCGAAAAACTTAATCAATTTTTAGAATATTGTCAGGAAACTTACGTAGTTAAATTCTTTCGTTTGCAGAACACAGCACATATAGTGCACACAGACTGTGTATAGGGTGTGGGGGGACAGTCTGTGTTTAGGGTGTTGGACTCATGCCCCCCTTTCAGGGAAAATTTTGATTTTCATGAGTCTCTTTGGCTCTGCTGGCCTTCGGAGACCTGCTCATGTAGGGGTCAGTAGATTTTGTCTCATTGCTACATTTCTTATGAAAGGACCAATTTGTCTCAACGATACAAAGATAAGATGGATTCTTTTCCTTATTACAAAGTAATGAAATCCATTTTAAGACTGTAATTAATCAAACATGCTAAAAGGATGCCTTAAAAATAGCAAAATTTTTAAACAATTTCAAGAAAATGACTGCAAGAAATATTTTGAAATGTATTTTAAGCCACTATTAGTGTTAGTTATGGAGGATAGTGTTAGTTATGGAGGGTGCCATTTTGATGCTGGTCCCCCCAGACGAAAAGGGCCAGGTCGCCACTGAGTTGGATGCAAAATCTTTTATTGATTTGTAGTTATGGTTGACATTAGATTTGTTGAATTTTTTTTGATGATCTAGTGGTTTTGTTTTCACAGATACCGAAGATGCAAGTGAAACTGACATGGTAACAATGGAAGAAGAATTCACAGAAATGAAAGAACAGTAAGAAACTTCTTCCAAATTTCTTTATCTTATTTTTGAAGTCATCTCCAGATAAGAACCCCTGTTTAATCAAGAGGTATTAAATGTTTTCCTGTTAAAAATCATATCAATGAAGAATAGCTCTTCAGCAATTTATTTTTTAATAACTTATATGGTACTTTCATGAATTGCCAGTTGCTTGCATCAATAATACCATCTTAATACTTTTAAGTTTGTCTGCGGAACTCCTATACTTCCAATTCAAATTGATCAATGGATGGCAGATCAATCTTCTAATAACTGATATTATCCCCCTGAAACGACTGCATAAATTATGCATAAAATCTAGCCTCTTTCTGGTAGCTAGCATGTATGTTTAGGCATTCGAATTTATCAAAGATCAAAAAAGATATATAACAGCTTGTTTTTTTCTACTTGCTTCACCTTGTAGTTAAATTACATTTCATTTACTCTATCACTGAGAAACCTAGTAGTATTTAGAACATTCTAGCCATTTGCTTACATAATACATAATTACCTCGAATAATCTGCCAACATACTTGCTTATTCATGATTATGTAACCCCTGTATTTGTAGTAGCTGTTATCATAATATCGTAGTTAGCCATTTAGGCCTAGCCATGCTTCTTATGTAAACATAGCCTCAATTTCGTTTATAACTTTCTAGAACTTTGGGGGTTATCGGGAACATTCTCTAAGGGGTATATTTAGAAACTTTACGTAAACTATTACTATTACGTAAACTACGAAACTTAGAAACTATTACGTAAAATATGTCATGATTAACAACAAACTAGTGAGACGATCAACAAGCATAATAGTGAGAGTATCAACTAGCGAGAGTTAAGTAGTCTATCATAGCGAATTAATCACAAAAGGATTGATTCTGTGAGCTCATTCCTGTGAGAGTTTATTGTCGTGGAAAACTAGAACAAATTCCCGACAACTCAGAGGTAATTTAAACCCAGTGATGTGTAGCTGAACTTCCCACATTTGCCTGTCTCAATTAATGCAGGTCTCTTTTCTTCACAACTTTTTCATGAAATATTATGCATGTAACTTTATTATTCTCTTTTGCAACCCAAGATCAGAAGTGTTTTGGCAGGATGTTTATGGTAAACATAGGTAGAGGTTCTTGCTATATGCCAATTCTCATTCTGTGGACATTTTTCAGATAAAACTCATTGTTTTCAGTAAACAACTTTAAATGCACAAGAAAGCTTGAATTTGAAAAACAACTCACTGAAAATTACTACAATGTTTGAGCTTGAAAGTTCTGTAAATCTTTATTCTTAAGATTTTTTCACAATATATAGCCATTAATTCATCTTCCTTGCACAAGGTATAAATTTCATGTAATATATTGTTAAAAGAAAAAAATAGCAAAAAAGGGAAATTAGTAATGGTAAATGAAGTAAAATAAAGTATGAAAGTCAAGTAAAAAATAAAAAATATTGCTGCTTATTTTAGCCTGCTAACACTGCTGTATTTGATTTCCCAATTTTAATTTAGGATGTATCAAGAAAAGATTAAAGATCTACGGAAACAGCTCGAACAGCTGAAAGATGGTTATTTTTGTTTTTATTTGATTAAAAACTCATGGATACAATGCCTGCCAAAAGTCTTGGAACACTGACATCAATTTCCAAGGTCAAAATAAATCATCCCTTTCTCCCCCATGGAATAATGTTGGTTTACTATGAAATGGGTCAGGATTTTAGGAGGCACTTTCTTTTGCGCTTCTTTTATGATATGTCTCTAAATTATCAACATTTTTCTACAGGGAAGAGGGCGAGAGTAGTAATTTTTTGGGAAAGGAATGAGAGATATAAAATGCAATGCAAATTGCTGGGTGTTCCAAGTACTTTTTGCAGGCATTGTAGTTTCCTTTAGTTCTAACGACCAAATCTATTTTTAAATAGCTTTGAAAAAAGCAAACATTTAGTAAACTAAAGCTTTTCGTCTGACACTCTTCAGAGTTTAAAACGTCAGAACATAGATCGAAAACTCTACGCTAGACCACCAAAAGATTGTTTAAATCTATTTTTGGACCAAATCTGCTAAATTATAATGACCAATTCAGTTCTTTGAGTTGATGCTTAGGTAAACCCTCATTTGGTCTAGAACACAACATAAATTTGGAATCATTTGTTTTCTTTCATGAACCTTTAATTCTGAAGATGTTTTCCAAATATCCTTCTATCTTTCATAAGTCCTTTAACAAATTTTTTTGTGCTTAAAAAATCTTCTTCAGTATCATGTTTAATGTCTCCACTGTTATGTCTTTTGAATCTTTCAATACCAAAGACTTACTTACTAATCAATTGCTGTACTTACTAAGCTGTTCTTTTATTTCCTATTTATGTTCAAATTTTTCCATAGGAACGCACCCAGACTACCGGGCTAGGCTGAAACAGATCGAGCAACAAAAAGAAGATTATTTGAAAATGACAGGCAAGTTTTCACTGCAACAAAATTTATTTCATTTCTAACTCCAGCTCATCAACATCCTCTCGTCTCTCCATCTTTATTTACTTTCTTGAAAATCAAATATGCATTATAAAACCAGTAACATCATTTTCTAATTATATACTTTATTTGATTTCAGAGGCATTCAAGGATTACGAGGTGAGATAGTTTTAGCATTTAAAAACATTTGATTTTGTTTCCTCAAAATCTGAATTTTTGCGTCACTGGAAAGATATGATTGGGTTAACTGTCATCTGCTTTGATCCGTGCCAAATGTCTTGCATCACTGACATCAGTTTTCAAGGGGAAAATCCGGCCATCCCCCCCCCCCCCGCCTAGGAACAGTTTTTATTTCTTTGGAAAAAAGAAAGACGTTATGGATAATTTTTTTCTTGTGACATGCATGACATTTTTCAAACTATCAACATTGTTCTTGGGGGAAATGGGATGGCAGAAGTAATATTTATGAAAACAAAAGAAAAATAGGAAAGCACTGTAGAAAGCCTTGGGTGTTCCATGTAATTTTGGCAGGCATTGTAGTTATGGACAGAAGTAGAAATTTTAACTTGTTTGTTGTTTGGTTCTTGATGTCGCAGTTCATTCGCAGTGCAAAATTATTGCATTTAGCGTGAAACTTGGTTAATCAACTTAGAACCAAGGATTTAAGCAACTTAGAACCAGGGATTTAAGCAACTTAGAACCAGGGATTTAAGCAACATAGAACCACGGATTCAAGCAAATTAAAATCCAGATTTGTCTTAATTGGTAATTCCAAATAGTTACTTGCAGAAACTTTGTAGACAGCATGTTATGTCAAAAAAATTAAAGCACACTTCGGACCTTTGTGAGTTGGTTTTAGCTTTCGCAATTCCCATGACTATTTTTCGTATTTATCTTCGCCTTTTGTTGTCCGTTTCGATAGAAAAATGATTCCTTCGACAATTGTCATTTTTTAGAAAAGAGAGACAGAACGAGAATTCGAAAGAGAAAAGCGACAAGCAAAGCAAGAATTGGAGGTTTCTGCTTAAGTTTTTATCTTCCAATTTTGCCCCTTGAAAGAGTTTGGATGTATTTTCGCCTGGTTTTGTAAATTAAGTGAGTTCAAGGTGTTTAAAACATAGATTAAAGGTATTTTTCATCTGTGGCAATAGCATGATTTTGGTGATTTTTCTTGTCCCAACTTTTTTTGGTACAAGTCAACATTGGTATAATTAAGCTATAAATGGTTATTTGTCTGAGCCAATTGAACGAAAAAATGGACCTTTTTAAAGGAAATACGAATTTATTTGTCTGCATAGAAACCCTTTAACTCCGATTAAGATTTTTCATTGCCTTTAAGACAATTTGGTGTCGTTATTCTTAAAGATATCTGCCATTGTGAAGACCAACGATGTCTTCTGGTATTTTTTTGATATTTCATTTTAAAGATGTTTGTATTTCAAGTGATATTGGGCAAAGTACATTATTCGCATATATAAATGGCAGTTTTTCGCGAAATATTGGAAGGTAGACATTTTTTGTAATCAATGACTCTCTTTTGTAGAGAAAGAAAATCGAACTAAAAGAGTCATTACTTCAAGATTTGCTGGATAAAAAGAAATCAATTGAGAATGAAAAAGCCACTTTGGAACTTACAGGGGGTATGTCTGTCTTTTAAAAGCATTAATAATTTGTTGAGTGGTGTGTTTTTCTGTGTGGCCTAACAAATCACTGTAAGGAAAAGCTTTCAAATGAAATGACTGATTCATGACTCGTACAAATGCACACAAAGCACATAAAATGAGCAACTTTAATGGTATGTGGCGTTTGGAGCATCTTTAGTGCATTGAAGAATACTTTGAAAGTAATTTTGACGTCATTGAGGCCGAAAGGCCTCAGTTCTCTTGTTGAAATCGAGGCCCATCGCTAGACGCAAGGTTGGATGGCTCTTGGCTTGCTCTGAAGAATTTGTCCGCTGAGTGAATCTTGATTGACTGTTTGAACTCAGTCATACTTAGAAAGGCATGAGGCACTAAAAGTAGCTTTATAATTCGCCTGATGAATATTTGAATATTGAGTTATCTCTTGGTGTTAGAAAGCAAATACTAGTAAATAGAAGTTAAGTTGTTCACTATATATGTCAAACACTTATATTTGTAATTTTGAGGGAAAAGTTAAATTCATCTGCTGTTTTGAAATGTCATTGCCTCTGTTATAAGAAGGCGCCTGCTAATGCTATATATATTTGGAACTGAGCCTAACCTTGTTTAGCATATTCCAATATTTGAGCCCCACCATTGTTTCTGGTGTTGCTTTATTAGATTATCGCAGATACCATTGACTCTAATAACGCCAAAATAAAGTTACCTTAAGGGTAAAATTGTACTCGATAAGGTCTCTAAATAATTTCAACATTTTTTGATATTATTCTTCTTGTTTTATTTTTGCAGAACACGATTTTATTTTTTAAATCTATTTATTTTATTTTTTCCTCTAGAAAAGTTTGTCATTGAGATCTCAGCCTTAACACTGTTTAGCGAATTGTGTAGCAGTCTTGTAATCTCAGCCTGCTTATTTATTTTGGGTAATGCCGGTGAAGAAATCGTGTAAAAGGTTTTCTTTCATTTGCGCTCTTTTCTTCTCAGAAATATTGGAAATAAAAACACTTCCGACGAGGAAACTACGAAGGAGGCCAAACGACCCACCTCCTCAAGCGGATAGTAAAAAGCGGAAAACAAACGGAAATATCCTTCTATGCTTTTATCTTTGTAGCGAAGGTTTGATTGATGAGGGGGGGGGGTATACCTTTCTATAGTCGTGTAAACCCACTATCTATGGGGTAATAATTTTGCTTGTTGGGAAGCTTATGTTATATGTAGTTTTTTCAGTCAAAGTAATATGTAAATCTAGAATTTTGTTGGAAATATTTCGAAAAAATTGCACGGGGTAACCATATTTCGAAGCTTTATAGGCGGTTTGAACATTTTTGAAATCCTGATGATCTCCTTTTTTTTTAAAATTTCCCACTATCTTTTATTGAAGCAAATTTAAAGCATTTTACAGCAGAATTGAAGTTGCTTTGCCTTTTCGCTACTGCAGGAGAGCCTAGTGCCTCAGTACGTCAGTGAAATATTCTAGCAGATTTATTGTAGATACTTTCATTATTAACTTTTCAAATGTGTTTTCTTAAAAATTTTTACATAAAAAAGCAACGTTAGCATATATCTTGGTGATGGAAGACTCAGTAAATGATTTTTGAAGTCTACTTTGGCGTTGATTTTTTTTGTAATATTTTCTATCCTTTGTGTTTTCATTTATTCTATATAATGGATGCGAGATTGTTACGATTTTTGTCCTCCCTGTAAATTTTTTTTATCATCTCTTGTAAATTTTTGCATACAAACGCTGAGAAATCTCCTTGACACTACCTCACTTCAACTCAACTACCTGCTAACCGAAGATTCAATTATGTCTGACTTGAAGAAACTTAGTAAGCTGCACAAAGGCTTCTTTCCCGAGGTATCATTTGTAATTTGATTTATTTTGCCTAGAATATTTGAAATTATTGTCATGTATGAGGCTAAGTCGAGAATTTGGCCTACCGTTGATGATAGAATAACAATCTGAAAATGGCACGAACTGCTTTGTTTTCGTGTGCTCCGTTTCCGCTATTTCGTGCCATCTTCAAACTTTGAGGGAACCAAAAATTTTTTTAGAATAACAATCATTGGGCACTTTAGATTTGATACCTTATTGTTCTATTTGTTCATCCTTTTCTACCTTAAGTTTCAACTCGTATGGTTTATGCAAGAATGTTAATTATAAAAACGGCATTAGAAATACCACCAGATTTGCTGTTCGTTTTAAAAGCAAAAGGTTACCAACACAATTAAGAATAAGCACGTTTTTTTCTTCTTCCGAAAACATTTTTGCTGGAAAGTTCTTGCTGCTTTATGCAAAATAGATAATGACTTTTGATAGACTAAAATATTCAAGGAAATATATTTTGATATTTGCGAAAGAAAAATCGTATTCACTTGCTGAATTTTTTGGAAAAACTTCATTTTTTATCTTTCCCAGAGATCGGCGAAAGTTAAGTTTTCATCGGTTGTCGGTAAGTTCAGATCTTTCATAAATTCATCATTTCATCTCCAAGCTGGTGAAATATTGTTTATCTTTGTTTCCAAGCGATGTTAAGATTATTTAGATCAGAATAATTTGACTTATGTTATATGCAAAGCTAATGGTTTTCAGAAAAAAGGAGGGTTTTAAGTCAAAGATTGGTAAAATGTGCTATTTCACAAAAGTTGCTTTAGGGTGGGGTATAAATAATTAATGTGTTGATTCAATTTCATTTTTTCAACATCAATTCTTCTGTTTATTTTCAACATAGGCTTATTTGATAGTCTAGTTTCATTTCCCGTGACAATCTTAGGTGAGGACACGAGTCCGACGGATGGCAACGCGAAGCAACACTTTGATGCGAGAATTGAAGATGGCAAACTATATTACGAGAAAAAATGGTAACTGATGTTGAGAAATGCTCTCGCTTTAAAAATTATGCATTTTAATTGCACAGCAATGTGAATCTTCGGTTCAATGAATTCGAGTCCAGAATTTAATGTTCATATCCAAATGACATTTGTTCTAGCGCGACAGTCCTTTCAAAGCATTGTGTCTCGCTGTTTATTGGTTCCCCCCAACAAAGGGAAGGTGTCAATTTCAGTTTGTTTTTGTTTTGTAACAAAGGGCTGTTGGTAAACTATAAACAAACAATAGCAAGTAAACAGCGCAAACACATTGTCTTAAATTTTTTAACTGTGCTGTTTTCATATCTCGTTCTTAAATATTTTATTTCATAGGCACCGCGGAGCAGACCCCACTTTTTGCAAGAAATGCCAAATATTTAGTACTCAACTACCAGTAAAGCCTCTTTTTATATTGTTTTAGCCCCCCTCCCCCCCCCACTTTTTTTAGACCCCCCGCGTTTCTAAACGCTCCGCTGTGCCTGTTTCAAGAGCCTTTCAGCAAAAAAAGTATTATTTTTTCTACAAACTTGGGTTTTGCAGATCAACATCACCTTAGAAAATATTTTTGTAATAATGTTGCTATTTAAAATTCTTATGTTCAAGTCTATGTTTTTGTTTTTCTTAGGTATTATAAAGGACAAGCTATTTTTCTGGAGCACAAAGATGGAGTTAGATACAAGTACGAGTTCCCTTTTTCTTAATTCTGAATCTAAATTTTGCATCTGAATTTTACATGATTGTTTTTTTCTGTGAAATAATCTAAAGCATTTGAAGCGAATTTTTCTGTTTAGAATTGAAATTGAAAAACTTCAGAACATACCAAAAAGAAGAACAGCATCGCTTGCAAATATTTTCTTGATTGCATATTATAACCCTCATGGAAGCATTAAATGTTGAATGAAGGATGGGTATCAAATGTTCTTCTTTCTTTTGCCTTCTTTCATTTGTCTATTCTTCCGACCTTCAATTTTTCATTTGAAACTATTTATGCTGGATTTCGGTATGTCTAGTAAAAATAGTAGCAGGTTTTCGTGATGGGATCTTACACATGGGTGTTTCCTCTACGAAGGAGTGATTTTTGAATCCTATGCTCGTTGTAGTAGAAAAAATCTGCTGCCAAGTTTGAACCTGTATTCGTGCTAAATTCTTATTTATTGCATTACGTAATTTAAGGCTGAATCTGCCATTTCTGAATACTATTTGTTGTACTTTCAATTTTTCGTAGTGCACTTATTCATTCAATTGGAACCAACGAGGTTTGTGTTGCTATATGCCCTGACTTCATCTGCGAAAAAAATTAATATGTTTTTCATTTATTTATTATAAATGGCTTTGAATAAAGCAAAAATTTTGAAGCATGTTACTAAAGCTTTTCGTATGACACTCTTCAGAGTTTATAGCATCAGAAAATAGATCGAGAACTTTACGCTAGAAAGTATATATACCCAGTTGTGGATCGAAATAGGCCAATCAGAAACGCGAGCAGCATGTCCTTTCTTTATCATTTTACTGTTTTTGCTTGCTTTATAATACTGAAGTCATTTTTTCAAGCAAATGTTATCTATATGGACTTTCTCTTTGCAATTTTGTATTCTAGGAATGATTTTGAAATTCTATTTCCTCTTTTAATATTTCGCTGTCAATAGCTTTTCAAATAATCTGTATGAATATTTTCTGATTTCCGAGTTGAATATTTTCAAATTTATGTATGTCTTATAATAGGTTTGGAAATTTAGTATGCCTTGTTGCTTAAATAAGAATAGCGTAATCCAGGCCTAGCTTGGCTCAAAAACTTTTTATCAAATAACAAGCGACTTTAATTTTCAGTATCATTGGCATATATAAGCGCCAGACCAGCAGTCCCAATACATTATTGCACAAGTGTAAAGAGGGTTTAACAACTAAATTATTTTAAAAAAACTCATCTTTACATGTATCCTAAAAGATGGGTTATATTAACTATTTACTTTTAATGGTTATATTTCAACCTCTGTGTTTCAGATTTGGATCAAGAAATTACAGGAAAACAAAAGACTGAAGATTTATGTTAGCCACCTTCAGAAGGGGAAGTACTCAGTTAGAAAGCGACCAACCGGACAAAATGTCAAAGACGCATAAACTCCGTTACAGAATATGTAAATTAGAACACTCGACTTTGTAGAAACCCTATTTGGTTTTATTATTGTAACATTCGTGTATATTTTTCCAAAGGTGTTGAATTTTGTGACACTGTCGTAGATACTGAACCACAAAAGGCATATGGGTAGTTTTTATTTGACAATAATGCCCAATTTGTTTTGTTTTTATTCTGCCTAATGTTGAACATGAGGTTATAGTTATAAGATTTCTTTATTAATTGTGATGAGGATAAAAAGGTCTCTAAAACAAATATCTTATAACAAAAATTTTTTTTTCTCTTATCTGATTTTTATCGATCGTAGACCATTGTTTCAGCTTTAGGTTGTGTATCCCTAATAAAAATATGTAAATAATATGATTTGGTCATAGTATAATGATACGATTCACGGTTATGGCCAATAGGAGTGTATGTAGCCTTGCTTGTGGCCTTCGTTCGGCGTTGAAAAAGTCTAAAACCTTATTGGTCCAAATTCAATCAGATAGCAAATTCTGATATTTGTTGACAGATATCCGAATCGCTACCAGATCCCGAGTGCCAATAGTAAGCGGGTAAACAAGAATATAAAATCTTATTGATTGGCACTTTGTAATCCAGATCCTTTGTAACTTTTCTCGTGTTTTCTCTTATAAGTTTAGTCACCTTCGTTTACGTGTTACCTTCTATGATTTCAGAATAAAAATAATTAATTTTGACAGAAGTTAGTTGTTCATTTTCAGTTTTAAAAGCAAATTTTTATGAGCAAGACCGACAATCGAGATCCTTTTGTTACCAAACTCCTGTTAATACCGTACACCTAAAAGCAACAGACTAACAGATTGATCTCAGAAAAAAACGATAGACAAACAGATTGATCTCAGAAAAAACAACAGACAAACAGATTGATCTCAGAAAAAACAACAGACAAACAGATTGATCTTAGAAAAACAACAGACAGACAGTTAAAGCAGTCAGCTCTAGAAAATAACGGTTGCACTTTCACAAAGATAGATGTTCCTGTAAGACTGTAAACATGACATTCACCTTCTCTGCATTTATCGTTACAAGTATCGTTATAAAAATGATCGTACAACCTAAACGAATCCCTTTTTAAAGGAACACTAAAACGATGTCAACAAAACAAAGACTAACCCAAGTGTCTTTCCAATTTTTTTAACTGATTCTATGAACCAACCAATTCTGAAGACGCAATCAAGGTAAACAAACAAAAGGTCTATGGACATTTCCTCATCTAGTTGAATCTGAAAATAGTGTAACTTTTTGTCTTGAAAGGACAACAGTCAAAACCAACAACAAGTTCCTTTCGAATGTGTGTAAATCCTGGCTTAAGTGCGTTACTCGAACCTAATTTGCAGGCTTCCACATTCGTCGCACGTGGCTGCATGTCGCACAAACCTGTGTATTTTCTTCTTCATCTCATCCACTTCGAGTTCAACGTATTTGATCTGGATGGCTAAGTGCTTGTTCGTCTCGTCAAGAATCTTCATTCTTTCTTTCCTGCATAAGAAGACTCGTGTTTCTTTTTACATGAATATCGAAAGACTTTGAATGAGTCTAAAACTGATTTGCTATTTTTCTCATGCAGCTTGCAAACTTGGCACACCTAGATTTTAGCTCAAATTAAACATTTTGGATTTTTATAAACTCTTTAGGTAGCCTATTGAAACTTTCGATGAATCAGAATAGTAAGAAAGAGAAGTGGATTACTTCTAAATATCAAATCTTGAAAACAGGGCAAAATCTATATTGTAAGTCGTTCTTGTAGTTAGAATGCGATAATGTTGTGGGTGGCGATTTCTACATGTGTGATCGTGTAATCTTTAGCTACAGGGGTATATATCCCTTTTTTGTTTTTAGCTTTATAAATAGAAACAATTTTATTAGAAGGAGGGGAAGTGACAGTGGAGTTTCTTGGTAAATGTTGCTTGTCAATTTTTAGAGTAAAATTATATGTGATGCAGACAAAGCTGTTATTGTGAATTTAGCGCCAAATGCTGACGCGATGTAAGAAGTCTGGATGCTAGTCATTTTAGGATTGCCAGATAATTAAAAAATCCAGAAGAAGGACAACTGAAGACTGTGGCTGTTGACCTGCAGTATAGTGAAGAAGTTATTTAATGCAAACGAAAGAAAAAATCTAGTTGGAAAGACAGTGTTGAGATTTCAATGTTAATAGGGGGACAGGGAATGGGGGGAGGGGTAGATGTGGACAATATACGCCTACCACCTGTTACGCTTTCCGAAGGGTTGTCTCAACATGGAATTGTGTTTAAGATCGTAAGTTGTTGAGTTTTAACAAGCAATGAGCACGAAAAATATTAAAGAAACCTTTTTGCTCGGTACTTTCTGCTGCTGAGAATGTTTCTCTCCCTCTTCTTGTCTTCACTCACTCTTACTTCCTTGTCTTTGCCCTCTGCAGCTGGCATGACATTTGGAAAAATGGTGCCTTGGTGACGTTGAGAAATCGATGCCTCTTCGCTCCGCTGCGCAGCAGCCATGGCATTCTCGAGAAACTAACGGTGCAAAAAGTGACTATCAGAAGGGGCATGGACATGAGCCGCAAAGTATTATGGATCGGGGAGTGAGGGGCTCACACAGGTGTAGCAGATGCTACATGTTTAAAGGAGAGGGGCTTAGTGTGGATCTTGCACGAATATCATTGCTTCGTTGTTATAGAACTGCCCGAATAGAATTTGGTATTTGATAAATTTTGCCTTGTTAGGGGGATTGCATGTTGCCCCCCCCCCCATTCCTTGTATCTCAAGTGTTTTTGACTCGTGTTATAGAAAAAGGGATTCAATTATTTCGGCTCACTGATTTTTGGGAATTACCGAATATCCTCGCTTTTAAACCCCCCACCCCTTGAACAAACCCCCTCTCGTGTAAAGATTATCAATGAGCTCCACCCTCTCCAAAATTATTAATGAGGCCCCTACCATAACGTAGATATTCAATCAACGGAATATGGAAAGGTAAAACAAACGAGAAATTTATACGTTACTTTTTTTTCAGCATCCATTTAAAGATTGTTTTGTTTTCTTTAAATTAACTTGACAAAAATAAAAAGCTATGAAAACGAGCTCTTTAAATGCCTTTTCATAGATTTTTCTCATAAGCCTATTCGTTCACGCCCCCTTTATCAAATAAGTCCCAATTCAAAAAGTCCAAGATTGATAAGTCCTGTAAATCATCTGATTAACACTGATAAAAGTCATTTCGCCTTGAGCTTTGTAAAAAAGTAAATCTTAAGCTCTCTACTTGAATTCAGTATTAATATTTCTTGGTCATCATTCTCAAATACTTATTTGAACTCAAATAAAATTACACATAGCAACAACGGATTCACATTGGAGGGCAGAGGCTTCACATTCGAAGTGGACGCTAATTCAATAATTTACTGTACTTCATCTATGACAAAACAAACAGGGTGAACTTTTTCACTTCAAAAGAACCTCAATTTTCGAATTGCCAAAGAATCTTGGCTTGTTCTTCTGCTTTTGAACAATTTTGTATTTATTTCAATATTTTTTTCAAAAGTTTCAAACGGCAACAAACTTTTTTTTAAATTTAAAGGACAAGTGACACGCTTTTGGCGCCAAATTTTTTTTTTCTTTTAACTTAGAGTAAAATGCTGTATGAGAGTGTTGTTGAAATATTTTTCCTTTCTGATTTCATTTTCCTACTTAAAAACCCTTTTCAAATTATGGCGGGAAATGAATCACGTGACACCGTGACGCAGATTGTGATAATTTGTTATTGCTGCTACTGATATAAAGTGCAATATTAACGTTTACAACACGCTTCTAAACGAATTCAGTTCGTCTGGACCTGTCGCGTCGTGTTTCGTAAACTCTCTATCAATTACGGGAAAATTCCAATTATCACAATGTACGTCATAGGGTCACGTGATAAAAAGCAAAATCGCGCCCCCTGCACCCCCTGATTAGAATATTTTGTTCTAAACCATGAAAAACTTACTACTAAATGATGATCTACAAGTTAGTAAACAGAAAAGATATAGTGAAAAGTGTGTCACTTGTCCTTTAAGAAATAAAAATATCCAAGAGCTGCAATACCCATGTTGATATGAAAGTTCCTTCTGATGTCTTTCAAAAAGAGGATGTCCATTTAACGAATTCATTTTAACGAAAGCACCACTTTTCTTCTCCGACCTTAAATATATTTGATCCCTCATTTTTGTAAATTAACTTGTGTTTTGTAGCTCTATTTTAAAACTTTTGAAAGTTATGACTTCATGATTAAACAACAAATTGCATAAAAAGATATTTAGTATTACCAATTTAGCCACAAGTTTGGTTTATATACTTTCCTTGTCTCTTTGCCACGACTTCTTAAGATTTTTATAAAATTATAGTTGCTTCAGCTTTTGCACTTAGCAAACGTGAAACAAATCATTTCTGAACAGGATTGATCCGAAATTAAGAAGACCAACAAACATAGCTGGTAGATAATAAGGATTTGATTAGAAAGTTGAGTTCGACAACTTTTTAGCAAGTTTGATTAAATCACCGCAACAGTTTGATCTTAATTGTCTGCATGGTCCTAAACTACGATCGTTTCAGGCGCTGTTATTCACACATTCATCTCGATCTCAGTTTTAAATTGATTTACTTGACACAAACTTACCTCAGAGCTATTCAGGATAAGGGAAATGTCAATTCCTTGAGTATTCATTGTCGTTTCTTGACCAACTTTTCGTTCGTAACAATTTGCCTCGTCTCAATTCTAATTTAGCACGTGTTTATAAACAGACGAAACCCAGATATGATCTGAAACTTGAAACACTGCAGAGCTTACAGAACAGGAAATATCGATTTTATAAACAGATAGCATTTATATATATAATATGTCGATTTTATTATCTTTATTGGGATGGTATCAATCGAAAGAAGAAAAAAAATTAACTGAGAGCCCCCGGCCAAAAGGGGCCCCAATCTTTTTTCATATCCATGTGTCTAAGTCTTCGCTCAAGTTCACTTTGTTTTCAAAACCTCTAAACCTCTTCAATTGAAGCTTTTTGACTTATTTTTACCTAGTTAACGATAATAAGTTTTCATTTTTACGTCTTGCTTTTGTGTTGGGCATGCTCTAAATCCTTGGATGGGACTTTCTTGCCTTCCGTAAGTAGGGGCCCCGTCTCTGTTTTTTTCCTTCGGGTTTCAGATACCTCATTTACGCCACTGATTCACTACATTTCCAATTTCAATAAAGCCTTTATACAAATCAGCCTGCAACACTTTACAAGCGATGGTATGAAACAAAATTTTTGGTTTATTTTCTGGTAATTTGAAAATCCTAGCTATAAGTGCAACCAAACCTGAAGGCATTTGAAGTCTCAAGTGGACACAGCCAACATAGAAATTGTACAAACAATATCCCGGATTGATTAGTTAAAATTGTTGGGAAAAATAAAAAGATTCAAGTTTTTTCAAGTTTTGTTCTAAACATTTGTGAACCGGCGGCCTTTCGGTATATAAACAGCGCCAAATGTTGAATCATTGATGAGAATTTATTTGTTCGAAAAAAGAAAAGGTAAATGAAAAAAAAAAATTTGAAGTCTTAATGGCTTCAGTTTTAACGTCACATTTCTTCACTTCTAACTTACACAGTTCTTCTTCAAAATTCAAGTTCAGCGCCTCAAAGTGTTTACACTCATTTTTTTCAAAAAAAAGGTCGATGTTGAGTACTCCAGTTTCTTAATGTTCTGGAAATTTCAATACATATTGTTTCTTATGAGTTTCTTAATTATGATGTCATAAATGATGTTATGAAATGTTCGTGACCTTTTTATCACGTCAAGAGATTCGCTTCCGTTCCGATGCTGTATTTAGATGTAGGAAGTATATGTTTATCCCTTGTGTCTCAAGTTCTAGGCCTTCAGGGCAATCCTGTTCTTGGATTTTACAAAATTTCGTTATTCTCAGTTTTATCAGAATTTAATAGTTTCCTAATTTTTTTGCTTCGAGTACCGAAGTTTCTTAATTTTTTCTGACTGTCCAGCACTCGTTTCTTATAGCCAGTTTCTTATAAAAAAATGAGCGTACTTCCTCAAACTGTGGATGTTAAAAATACCTAAACAGTGAAAAATCCAATTGAACTTTTAAAACGAAGTTAAAAATGGGGAGAACTTTCAAATGACTCAAAAGTACAGCCTTGGAAACACAATAGACAGGAGTTCGTTAAACTGTTAAACTGAAAGTTGCTTGTATCAGAACAATCTTTCAAGCAGCTTAAGGGGCACCCAGTGTTTAATTCGCTCAATGAAAAACTTCGTTACATTGGGATGGGGTGTGGGGGCTTGAGGGGCCTAGTTACACATGCTTCTTATAAGAATACAATAAATTTTGTCCACCCACGATATTCTTAAGAAGTTTTCGCTTCGAGCCTGCCTATATTCTTCAAGTATTCCTATTTTTTCAAATCTGATATGGTTTCAGGGGAAAATCTCCCTTCCTCTAACTGAGACCATGCTTTTTGAAAAGTTGAGATATGTCGGTCTTCAGTGATTCGATTCTCTGTTACGAACATAGCAAAACACACAGATATGCGAGCAGAGGCTTAGCAATATTCTTACAACATTCTTGATAATTGTATATTTCTTAGCCTGAATATTCTTATAAACATATTTTTACAATGGAAGAAGAGTGTGGACGGGAGATCGGTTGAACAGAAATTTGCTTAGAGGACACCAATCTTTCAAGCAGCATTAGAGGAGACCCGGTGTTTAATCCATATGCGGGGGTCTTAAATTATTCAGTATTCCGCCATTCTGTGATCCGCTGTATACAAATATTCGAAAATCCTGACCCAGATAAGTAGACCAAGAGCTGTTTATATTTTAAAAATCAACACATGGTGACCCAACAGTTCTTCTACAACAAAATTTAATCCGGTCCGGCCATTGTTATCTGATCCTGCCCTCGTATGCAGGCTATGAATGCAGGAGTGCGTGATATGAATTTGAATACAGTTTTGAATCATAATTTTATAAAATTTTAAAAAACCGGACACCCCCCCCCCCCGAGTTTACGGTTTGTAGACTTGCGCAAATAATGATAAAAATGCACGACCTCTAAAGCTGGGACCATACAATAAAGCCACGTATTTACTCATAGACGAAATCTTTTAAATGACAATATTAAATATTAGCAATACAGGTTGATAAGTTCATCGCTGACTGCAGAGGGCGTCAGGACACCTAAATCAGTGAAAAGTAGAGTTATGTACGAAGGTGGTGTGTAGTCCACAAGTGGATGACCTGTTTCCGTCGTGTTGCAATACTGAAACAGAAAAAGAGAAATGAAATGCGATGAAAAAGCGATTCAAAAGGAATAAATTCAAATAAAACAAACAGCTTCGCTTAAGGTAATGGGCATTCATGTGATTTTCAATGTGATCAGTTATGCTTACTCGACATTTTTCAAAGAAAAATATACGCTTCACGTGATTAGTTACATCATGAAATTGTGAGCCAATCATATTCGTTTATCAAAAGATTCTAAACGAATAGGTTGGTAGTTTTTGCCAGGCATGTAATATGCCCTTTGGCAAGCAGTCATTTCTTTTAACAACAGGGAAGTGGGAGTATAATTGAAAACATTGATACAAACAAAACTCCTATGAACATTTCCTAAACCCGGCCGAGGACAGGAGGGAGTAACATATCTCAAATGATGAAACTTTATTCATTTGATATGGTTTTCAGGATTTTGGAAATACGGCGCCGAGTTTTTAAAGAAAACCTGTTTTGAATGACGCCAAGAGGCTGCAACAAGGATGATGTCACCAAGATGAAATGAAATAATGATAAATGTGTGTTACCAAGGACAAGAACAATTTAATGCCGATCTGAAACTAGGGAATATAGAAGGCAGTGTCTTTGGCTATGTTCTTCTAAGAATAAATGGATTGCTACTTCATAAGCCTTGCTACTTAAGCACCTTTCGTCCGACTCTCCCTAGAGTATAAACGTAGCGTGTACAGAAAGGTTGAAAGAGTATAAACGTAGCGAGGTCACTGATTGGTCGAAACATAGACAATTTCTACAAACACATCTTTTCCACTCGCGTTACTTTCGATCCTCATCGAGATATAAACTTTCTGCTTACCTTTGGACTTTATTCGACGTTTATACTCTTAGGAGTATCGAACAAAAAGCACTTTAGCATGTAATATTTCCGCTTATCGTGCAATTTTCAAATGCTCGGTTTGTTACTATGATACTAAGTGCCATCTTTCAAGGTATGCAGCCTGCAGATGACAGCGATTAGCAACGAAAACAAATCGATAAAAACAAACAACGGCGCCAAAAGTTTTTAACTTGTTTAACTTTCCCGACCGTAATCGCGTCATCAACATAAAAATTATCTAATAGAGCTATTTTTACACAACAAACAAGAAATTTAACGAAAAATTTCAAGAGGAGTAGATTATGGCTAAATTTATAAGGTATCCTATAGAGCATGTTTGTCATTTGAGTTACCCCAAGGCTTGTTTGGGACAGTAAAGTCTATGTTGGTACCCTATTGGTAAGAAAGTACCCTATTGGTATGATGGTACCCTGTATGTATCTTGTAGGTTTGAAAAAGCAAAAGAGTTGTGAAGTGTGACGTCATGTCACATTCTAAAAATACATAATTTTAGAATTTTTGAATTCTGACCACATAGCCAATGAAAGATTTGAAGTTATGAACAGATACCAAACTACAGTGCTTTAATGGGTAAAGAGCTTGTGATTACGTGGCCAAATCCCAGTCAATGCCTAATACATTTAACTGATTTTACACATTTAGAGACATTGCATGATGCTTTTTCAGGTTATGGGATCCAAATTCAAAAATTCAAAAATATATTTTTGTGACGTCATCTCTTAAAGAATCTATCTCAATGTCAAACTTAAAATTGCTTTTAAAAGCTTCTCCCTCATGTCCACGAAAAATGTGGTCTACGATTTCTTTAGAATTGAAATCAACTGGCATAGAGCCTGAAATGACTGCAAAACTGGGATAATTCAACGAGCCTTACCTTGTGTTTGTTTGGGACTTCTTTTTGATTAAGCGGGTAAATTCGCTGAAACTTGAAGCTTTCAGCAACCGCATACACAGGTTTGCTCATGGCTTTAGCCATCACTGCAAGCTGGTATGTTCCCACCTTAGAGAGAATTAAAATAAACTCAAGGAACATTTACTTACTAAGACAGGAGACAATCATGTATAATGGTAATTCACGGAATGCTTAATTTTATCTGCGTGGGATACTGTCAGCCATTGATGGCACAAAAAGACGATGAAAATTAATCGCCGGTTTTCTCTTTGAACAAACGAATTGTTCATTTGATCACAGCGGTTTGACCAAGGATTTTCTTAATTTGACATAATCCAGCTAGCGCTGCGAACGTCATCAAGTTGCTATTTACATCATGAGAAATTGGAGTATCTTTTCATTAATGGGTTATCAAGAGTCCAGAAAAGGGTGCAAAACTTTGAAAATCTGCCTTAGAAAAACAATTAAAACAGGGCATAGTCTAAGGCAAGATAGCTACAATCCTTGCCAAAATTGTTGGAACACTTGCGCAAAGCTGAAGCTTTCTTTGGAAAATCCCCCCCCCCCCCTACTCCCCGTTACAATGTTGTTCGATTGGGCTGTTTTGATCCTGAAGGTAAAAGTTTCTTCACTGAAAGCTGTATGAAAGTATTGAGAAAATAAATCAACATTGTACGGGGGGAGGGGGTCGAAATTTTTGAAGCGGCAGCGATATTTTGGTAAGTTAGTTTTAGACTTGCTTTGTATATTTGCATGCTGCAATGGGAAGGTGTTCCAGTTATTTTTGGCAAGGATTGTAGAAATATTGTCTTTCATATGGCCTTCCTCAAAGTCGACAGCTTTGCTTAGAAGCAATGGACTCTTGAAACGGATTGTCACGTTATACTATGAAATAAACAAGTTTTTAGTAAGACGAGTACAGATCACGTGTAACAGGCATGTTCGTCTTGAATAAAACCTAAAGTCTCTTAATTAGAGCCATACAGTAATATAGGATATGCTTTCTTCGCATATAAATCTCAAACCAACTAGAGATAGACGTAAAGAAATTCCATAATAAATAAACAACGGAATTGGGCATCACCTTGTTTATTAGGCCACCGCTTTCACCAACTCCTTCAGCACCGACAAGAACCATGTCTACCCTTTCCATAATGTACCTGGCAAAATGAATTTGTTACATAAATTTGTAAATAAACACTAATACAGTGATGGCAAATCCCTAGAAAACAGTTTATAACAATTTGAAACACAATATACTGCAACATTGCAATAAGATCTTTTCTACGCTTTTACACTGTATGCTGGCCTAAATTGTTAACTAGAGTTTTTTATGCAATAAGTGTGGATGCAAAGGCTAAACAAAATATATAATTGCTATCGAAGATATATAACATTTATAAGAAGAATTTTGCAGAATAACATGAAGAAATTACATGCGATATAAAGATTTCATTTTATCCTCCAATAACTAAGTGGCTTAAGCCATCTGTCAATCTGTCAATCAAAAGTAGCCAATCAATTAGCGTAATTTTACTCACACGATCATTGATTGGCTAATAGTTGATGGACAGATTACTTTAGTCATTTTAGCGTTTGTCGATCGCTTTTAAGCTATAGCAAGAATGTTTTTCTTCTTGCAGCGTGTTATTAGAATGAAAGATCGCAAAGTCCAAATTCAAGGTCCCTGTTTTTCATATTAAAAAAACTCGTTATTCAGGCCAAAGCCTCGTAACACTTAACACAATACTTTGCTAAATGCTGAAAAGGGCGAAAGAGCAGCCTACCCAACAGCTGAGTCTAGAATAACAGTGCTGGGAATGCCAAGATCTTGTAGTTCTTTGTGCATCAGATTTCTGAAAATGGATTCACAGATTTGTCATCAACCATTTTCACAGATTATGCAAACAAAGGATTAAAAAGCAACAGTCAAAACATCTAAAAAATGCATATTCAAGGACTTGAGTCGAAGATTTAGAGCAATGGTACACCTGCCATTTACGTATGATCACAGTAGAGCAGATGGCAGTACCCATCAAAAACACCTTACTTCTCCAAAAATATAAAAACACTACACTCCAAATCACAGTTCAGATCAATGGGAGGAAGAGATTTTTAAATTTGAAAGAACGAACACGAGCGAAATAGGCCATGTGACGTTATCTATATCCACATGTCCTGCATAGATTATTTGATATCAAGAAAATTAATTTTACGAAAAGAAGCTGGCCTAAATCAAATAATCACAGCTCTCCATGAGACTTTGCAGCTTCCGCGGGTCAGTAAAAAGAGATCTTAATCAGAAATCTCTGAAAAAGATTCGCTTTAATAAGGTACTGTGATTCTTGGCTACGCACCACCTCAAGTATCCTATTAAAGATATAATAAAGGTATAATACCCAGGGCGAAATTTTTTACAAGATTATAGGATATGTTTTCGGCAACAAATTTCATATCAAGGCCGCACTCAGAACAAAATGAAAGGTACCCGGAGGTGTGAATGTTTTCAGACAGCAATAAAAATAGCAAGCCCAATGTTTCTTTCTAGGATAATCGTCAAACACTCTAAGAAGCGAATCATGTTACCCTTTTCATTTAAACAAATGATTCCGATTACATTTCTTATTTTCGATCAAGATTTCGATTAAATTCCGATAAAAATCTCGATTAAAGCTTGATTAAATGAAATTTAATCACGTTTAATATGTGACAGGGTATGCCTTTTAGGTGCCCCTTGGGCTTTTGTTTTTTGGGCACAGATTGCACAATTGTGGAGTTTGTGTTTATTGTAGCAGTGCTCGAGTGTGCTTTACATTGTGTCTTTTATACGGCTATAGCAACAAGCGTGCAAATGTGCATTGGCCTTGGGTATATAAACTTGTGTTGGCATAGTTTCATTCTCACACGTTACACGACAACTCAAAGTTGGACTTTGGAGAGGAAAGGTTTTTCCTTTGCGACCCTGCCCACCCAACCCATGTCTAGATATCTTCAGGGGTTTTTCTTTACATGCATTTTGACTTTCTTTTCTTCTTCTTCGTGCATTAGTTAATGGCCGTATGGCTTGCAACTTTTTTGCATGAACAAGGTGCTGCTAGTCGGTGGAAGAAGGCCATTGTTCCTCAAAAACGGTTGGGGTTTTATTCATGGCCGTCTGTGCGATTGGCGCACCGACAGCCCAAAAATAAATGGTTCAAATGAAGAGAGAACACCACCTTCAGTCTTATGATTGACAATGGTAAAACATTCTGAGGACCATCTTACCCTTATATGCTAATGGTTTTTGTTTAGTAACCTGGAACAAATATTAAGATACCGTTTAAGATTCAACCATGATTCCGATTAGGATTCTGATATCGCTTGAAAAAGCGATTTCAAACACAATCTCTATCCCGATTACGGTCAAGATTAAGAGTCTGGTTAAGGTTCTGATTAGAATTAGGATTCCGATTGTGAATAACGATGATTTCAATAACGATTCCTAGCTGTTATAATGACTTCTTGGGAATTTCTACTAAATATGATGATCGATTTCTCAGCTTAAACATAAAACAGATGCAAATAAGCAAATATTGAAGGACGTATCCGCTACCCAGACATGTCCGGCATCGATTCAGTCACATAAACCTGAAATCGTTTGTTCTGATCAACGGCTTCTTTGAGCAGCTGAAGAACGCCTCTGGACTTTGAATGCGTAAGAATAGTCTGCAAAAAATATGCCAAAATACAGACTCGTTTTAGAAAAATGGGGAATATTAAATAGAAAATCGAAGGTAGGAAGATTAAAAGTCTAATAAATTTTGATTGGCAAATCTTGCAAGCATAAGGACTGTGCGACATTCCGTCGAAAATTGGGGAAAATAATTAACCATACTTTAAAAGGGAAACAACTGTATTTATTAACAAATTAACCACAATTTTGCTACCTAAAAAAGTTTTTTATAACTCAAATTTCCCTTTACAAGCACAAACGTTACAGAGCGTTTGTAGAAACCAAAAAGTAATAGAGATCATATTTAGAAAACGCAGTAAGACTGGTATAAGGACTGAAGGAAAAAAGGTGAAAGTGTAGGAAACAGAAGAGAAGCCGACGTCGAGCCATTTCCTCTTTGGACTCTTCGTTTTCTTCGCCATCTCTAATTGACATGTGCTTCCCGTCAAAGCTATAAAACCTTCTTCTCCGTACTGAAGGCACAAAGCCCAGTGAATGTACATATTTCTGCCATGCGACGCAGGCAGCTCGTGTAACATAATGACAATAATGATTAGGTATTGATCGAATTCCATAAGAAAACTAAAGTAACACTGAAATAGGGCCTAATGCAATAACTTACAGCTCCATCTCTGATAAACTGCCCACTCAATTTTGCAATTCTTTTTCTTGACCCAGCTGCTTTTTTCAAGAACAGCTCGCCTAAAAATGAATTTAAAACGGCAATTTAAAAGTAAAGCAAGATTACTAGAACTCGCAGAGATAAGAAATAAGTTTCGAAGTGATAACATTATAGGTAAAATCAATTTTGAAAGATATTGGACTTCACAACATGAAAAAGCATTTTGAAAGAACATTTAGTACAAAATCAGTAAAGTCTTGCAAATTGCCTGAGATATATAGCCAGAGCTGAGTCTTGCTAATGGCTTACTGATGTTTTGGCCTGGTTCATAAGTCTTGGAACCAAAATCAAATTACAGTGATTTGTAAGGAAAAGACCTTTTATTTATGTGGTCATATCTCAGTGAAAACTTTGCAGGTTTAATCGACTTTGCACCATTAAAGGTGCTTCATATTTTCAACCCTTCCTTGGTATTAATACCAGGTCAAATTTTTGCCAAATACTCCCTAACTGTGGAACGAATTTAAGTCAGTACTGTGCAAAAATTTTCTTGTTTATCGTATGATCTCATTCAGACATTAATCGATGCAGCAGTTATTCCCAGACTTATTTTGAGGAAATTTCATCACGGCACAACAGCTTTTTAAAATTGAAATCGAGATCGTCATATATTTATATATACAATGTAATCATTTTAGCTCTATACTTGCAAATATTTTCTAGCCTAACTATATTTAGTATAATAAAGGACTATACTTACATTTGGTGATATTTACTAATAGGTTTTTGTTTTATTAATTATTTATTTATTTTACTGCCAGTGAAAAACCTATATGATACTTAGGATCTGTGCAATGAATACATTACATTAAATTACATCTAAATCAAAAGTTTTACGTAAAGAGGGAAGATGTATGGCCTAATGAGATGTTTGATCATGGCAAGACGTCGTTAGATTACAGCATAAAAATATCTGGGTGTTGTTAAAATGGAAAGAAAACAATCAATTCTCAAAGTCAAATAATTTAAAATTTGATATTTGTATCATAGGCCTTTTATGACGATATTAAAACAAATTTATCACGTTGCACAGCTTTGATATCGCCGAGGATTAAAACAAGGCTCGATTTATTTATTTTATATTTTATTTCTGAATACTTAACTAGATTTAATCCTTAGGTCATTTATCTACTCCTATGCTAGATCCTTATATGATTTTCAATTTCACTTAACAATCGAAAAAACATGAAATTCTACCCACCTCTATCAACTAAAATTCGCTTACATTCCTTGAAATCCTAACAAAAAAAGAAAAAATAAATTTGTGGTTTTGATCACCATTGAAATTCACCTTTAGAAATCAATCTCAAACAGTTTGCACGATAAAATTTTTAACAAGTTAATTAAAAGTAAGAATTCTGCTGGCAAGAAAGCGACAAATAGAAAAGTTTAAAACGAGTAAATTTATAGATACTGCGATCAATTTGGTTCCTTATCTGGGCAATCTTATCTGTGTTTTGACTTTTATTTATTTTTTGGATAAACGGTTTTCTTTTGATGTTTTGCCCGTGAAAAACACCTGTTTCTAGGAAGTTAAAGAAAAAAAGCCACAAAGTACATCAAGCAAAAAAATATACTGTAATAAGTAGGATTGGAGATCAGAATATGTCCTTATCTTAAAAGCCAAATTTCGAGTTCATCGTATTCAAAACCGATAAAGCACAATCTGTTAAGCATTTTTTAAATAAATTCCTGTCTTCATTACCAACTTTGTTCTTATAGAGACGTAGTTGTAGGTTGGGCTAGTACAAAATAACATCTACTGCGTCAAAGGTTTCTAGCAAAGTTCGTAAGTCTGCTTTGAATAGTGTTATTAGCATGAGTGATTTTCTAAGTGATTGTGTCTGACTGGGTCCAATCCTGGGCTAAAATGAAACGTTGTAGTCCGGTCATGTCTCGCAACTGAGGACATTTCCATGTCGAATCCGATTAAGATTGAATAACAAAAACACTTTCTGTAGAGCAGAGCAGGTAACAGAAACACAAGAACTTTCAAGTCTGGTGCAAGAGAGCACATCTCCTGCCTTTTGTAGTCTGTCTAAAGCCTTCAAATTAATTATGATCTATCATAAAATTTTAAAATTTCTTGATGTCTGAGCAGCTTTCTAATTAGCTTGCTATTAAGTCGTGCATTTTTTATCGTTTCATTTGACTAGTTTAAAACATGTGTCTGCAATTTTTAGTCTCAAAATTACGCTTCCTTTCTTCATTGATGCACAGAACGAACTTTCAACATAAATCCCATTTTTAGCCTTTTCTTCTGCAACATCTGTGACACATGATTGATGAACCTGAGCTTCTGTCTACTTAATGAAAGAGTAGGTTCTCGTATTTAATGTTTAGGGTGCTGCTGTCCCGTTTTTGGAGACATCCGGTAACCCCAGACCTCTGTTATTAAGGCTTTGCTGTATCATTAACAGTTTAAAAAGCGCCCGTTTTTATGGCAACATCATGCTGGTGAAAGAATTAAAAAGCTCCAACAGCATTCAGAAAGCAGCTTCGTTATGAAGGCTTAAGTAAACGCTGATATAAAATGAACCTTATTCGATTAAACGAAATGAGAAAGAGCCACCGATTCAACCTCGTTTATAATCAGAATGGAGACTTCTGGTAGAAAAGAGGTCGTGAATTATCGAAAGTTAATGATCATAGTCCAATCACAGAATAGGAAATAGGCAGAAGGGTAACTCTCGTCGGTTCCTTTGTTGTTTTTTAAGCCCGAGTCAACAATAGAATTTCTTAATTCCCCTTTAACCTCGATTTCATTAGACGAACTTAGCCATGACAAATTATCATTTATTAACCAGATATAAACGAATTATGATATATAATTGAATTTGTTCCCTATCATGGGACATTTCGTCTAAAATAAAGTTGTCTACTTTCTTTCTTTCTTAAAATTTCCCCGACAGATACATGCTCGTATAAGTTAACGCATGCGCTAGTTTTTTCAGGCTTCACCTGATAGGCAGGAGTTCCCCTTCTGCCTATTTCCCATTCTGTGGTCCAATCTTTATCATATGTGAAAACGAGGCTGCTGAGTAGACGTCCTTACTGAGATAAAATAGCGCGCTAGCAAAATAATCTGCATGTTGCAAGATTTTCACACAATGCTGGTGCCACACCACCTACCATGCATTAAAATTTCAGCGATAAAATTGATAAAATTGATAATACGATAAAGAAGCTGCAACTTGACAAGAAAAGGTTCGAAACAAGCTACTTTTAGGCAGCTTTGTGATTATCTGCCGCGTGGCATCGGAAAATGAAGATATCGAGCAAACATGAATCGAAAATGCGGGCAAAAATACATCAGGAATCTGCGGTGGTCATTATGTATAAAATTAGAAACTGCAGAAATTGTTAAAATATATACAAATGACTCTAATCTGGGCAGAAAAAAGTTTGGTCGTATCGCCGAAAAATCGAAAGAAATAAATATATGGGAAAATTGAAGTAAACACAGACAATTTGAATAATTCATTGCTATTTGGTTCCTAAATCGTACTTCTTTGTTGGTATAAGAAAAACATGGTGAACATATTCAGATAATAAAAGCATGGAGTTCTATAGACAACTAGAGGCGAGCAGAAAAATGTTGAAAAAACGGATACGAGAGGCAAGTTTTCCGAAGTAAAAAAGGTTGCTAACATCTTGCTTATCTGATACAAAAAGTTTATTTACAATAAAGAATTTCAATCGATCGCGGCAATTGTAATTGAAACATTAAAGCAAGGATTTGATGAGATTTTTTCAAGTAAAAACGATTAAATAAGCCCTTTTCTAGACAGCTAAGCATGGATATCACCGATTAAAATTACCATTAGTATAATTATGAATATCAGGCGAATCAGATTGTTTCATAGTTTTTTTATTCAAATCTGCAGGATCTAAGAGGATTTAGATCAAATTTGAAGGCACATGATCTCAAGGTTGATGGCTTAATGCAGGAACAATAAAGTGGAACTAAAATCGCCTTCGAAGAACTTCGATTTTTTAACTGAGAGGGCGATCGCAAAGTAAGTTGGAAATAGAGCAAAACCTGACTAATTTGTAGAAATTGTTCATAATTGAAAGATAATAACTATAACTTCACAAATAAAAAGCCAGAGCATTAGGGAGTAATGAAAGAGGCGGTACCAAGGGCCCAGTTAGGGTTCCAGGTTCTAAGTGTGTTCAAGTTGTAGCTTTTTCTTGAAAATAATAACTGAATACGCGATTTTCTCCACATAAAAACAAACAAGATGTGAAAAGTATGTAAAAACAATTAGGAATCGTGTTATGATACCGAACATAGAAATCTATATAGACGTATAAAATTTCCTTATTATTTTGAAAATAAGAAAATTGCAAGCCGCACTACGATTACATGTTGATCATCTCAAATCTAAATGGTCGAACTTTTAAAATTTTTGCAAAAAATATAATTTGAAAGCATTTTAAATCGGCCGGTGGGACAAGCGGCAAGAAATCCAGGGCCATAAAATAACTTAAAGTTTTTGCTGAAAGAACGAAATGGACCAACAAGCAATAAGAATATTTTACTTAAAATTGACTAAAAATTGTCATTTGAAATTATTCGGGAGACGAAATAGTGCATGGTCTGGAAGACGAGCATGATTCATATCTCCCCCCGAACTAGAAAGTTATTGGGAGCTTAGGAAACCAAAGCTCTTTCAATTTCTAATCGAGACAGTCAATTCTATTTCTGTAAGCCATATCTTCTTCAAGTTTAAAGGTTTCATTGAAACGGCTTCATGACTTCGCGGATGAATCTTGCAAACGAAATAGAGGAGAAAATTTATGAAACCTAAAAACATTGTGCTCAATCTCCTACTTAAAGATCTGCTTATATATTCAAATTATCCGTCAAATATATCGGCAATGTATCAACAATGGCAGGTCAAATCTAGTCATAATTTTCTTTCGCATGCATGTTATTGTTTTTGTTCGCTTTATGCTTTTGATTTGAGATCACACTGTTGCACTTGCAATGGAAAAGCGTAGGCAGGACGCGTCACCAGACCGAATCGTCAAATAGCGAAAATCAGCTGCAAAACATCGACACCTTAAATACCTACTTTTTAATCGGATTTCTTGAAATTGGATGTTTATAACTGCGCAGTATTTTGCAGAAGGCCACGGTTTTGAGGTTTGCCGTTTTAAATTCCTACTTCGCGGGATTTTTTTGAATTGATTGATAGTTTGACCTTGTCAAAGAAAACGCATGTTTTTCTGTAAACATACGGCGAACGAAAATACTGTTAACGGTGAATACAAGATTTCTTTATACCACATTCTACATACCGAACAGAATCTAGCTGCGCAGACAGAATGAAGATAGAACAGGTGATTACTCGGCCAGGAACAGATGCGAATTGTGTCTTGTGTGAAAACATTACACTGCGAGAAAGTTACCAGAAACCCTTCCGTTCTTGTGCACGTCGATTATTACAGTAAAGAAATCTGAGAAGAATGTTATAGGCCATTCAACAAACATTGCAAAATCAATAACGGGAAAAGCATCATACAAATTTACAAAGCTTGGCTCGAATGCACCAGATGAAAGATCGACTCGACTTTCATGCAGCGGATCGACTTTCATGAAAAACGCCAAATGTCAAAAAGCGCTTAGGATAATAAGAGTCTACAAATCTGAAGAGTTAGGTTGTCGTGAAATAAATCGTTGAAGTTGCAGATCAGTTCTTGTGGAAGCCAAATCAGAGAGGATTTTCACTGAAAACCTGAATATCATTGGGTTTGTAGGTAAATATTTCGTATTCATGCAAGGATTGTGGATTTCAAGACTTTGTTTGAGAGTGGAAGAAAATCAAACAAACTTGTTCACATGCAAAGATTACATAGTCTTTCGGTCCCGAAAACACTTCAGGCAACATCTGTTGGCGTGATTGACTTTTGGCTGTATTCAAATAGATTCGGTGTTAGTTGATTTAGATTGGAAGAAAATATTTGCTTTTCCTTCGATAAATATGGTGGATTTTCGTTATCGTTCGCAATCACATATCAAAACATCACCTAATACAAAAAACCACAGATGATCAATAACAGTCCAAAAACGCATAGTAAATTTGGCGGATAGGCTAAGCAGAAGCATCCAAGAACGAAGGCAAGGGATTTTAAATTGCGAACAAATCTCTGATTGACGGGTCCAAGGCGATCAGAATGGAAATGTTATACTATTTGACAAAGGCAATCACTGATCACTTTTTCAACGTCA